CTTAAATTTTGTTCAAGCATTGTCCAAAGTGTTTGACTTCAAAAAAGCATATTTATTTTCCTCCTAATATTACAACGGCGTGCTCGATCCATGTGATTGGTTCTGGCTGGCCAAGCTCCTCCTTCTGGTGATGTCACATAATTTGCGACAAACGCGGGATAGAAATGTAACACTCTCCACATGTAACAAAATCATAGAGCAAAACAGATGGCAAAATGTACGTTTGTGTACTCCTGGTTGGAGTAAGAAGAGTTTAAACAGTGGCTGAAGTCTGTCACTGAAAACAAGTGTGCAATTTATTCTTTCAAGCTTTGTTTCTTCCGAGCTTATCTGAGTTCTGTTTTGTGGTTGTGCTCCATTGATTTATTTAACTACAGCTTTTTATTAACAACTGTTTTTCAAGTTAAAAGTTTGATACTGATTAGAATTTTAAAATATTCCGAGAAGGTCTTTAAAAAGGTATTAAAATTACCTTTAGGATTCCTGCATATACGCTGGTTTGTTTCATCAAATATCTTCTATTTCAAAATAGAACACTTAATAAAGAAAAGACATATACACAGTGATGCTGCTGCATCACTTCACAAACAAGTTTTATTAATCATCACAAGATACAAAATATATTATTCTTAATAATTCAGTTTTTTTTGTTTTTTTTTGACTGATTTGCAAGAGGAATAGGACAATTAGGCTGACCACAATAACCATAAAGTAGAAAGAGAATCTGACCAAGGAGGAAGGGGAACAAGGGAGTTCGATCTGTTTTCAATCATCTGATCTAAAATCCAACACCTCTTCCACATTCAATTTCTGTTTCTTAAATTGAGTTCTCGCTGAAATGAAGCATAAATTCCTGGATCAAAAAAATAAATAAATATAAGCTTAATATTTGGGATGTACAATGAATGAAGGCATGGGTTAGAATAGATTAAATAAAATCTAAACCCCTCACACTTTATGTTCTGCTTATGAAATGATGTCACAATTTTATGTTTTACAGAAGTGTTTCTCAACCACGTTCCTGGTAGTGCTGGGCGTTTAAAATCAGTATCGATATTTATTGACCGAACACCATTATCAATATCCATTGGAAAAAAAGATTTGATTTGTAGTTTCGGTATGAAGCGCTACAGTTTTATTAAAATGTGGCTGCTGAGCACGCGCCTTGGAAGCAATGCTAATAAGCTCAAAGTGTAAGTTTGTCGTTCCCTTATGCTAGCGACGCGCATGTTGTGCAAGGAGATTGTAAATAAAAAAATAATGTAAGGATGTCACCAGAGTGGCTTTTTGGTTTCTTTTCTTGTGCGTCCCAGCCACTAGCTTACTGTCTGAAAGATTTTTTTTTAGTCATTCAACTTGACAATTTGTAGTGTTGCAATATGTGTTTGAATAATGATGGCTGGTTCCTTTACTTGAAAGCTCAGATTTTATTATAATAATTTATGTTGTTGACCGAGTTTGAGGTTTACTGTATTATTATTATTCACACATTAAAGTTTGCTTTGATTGTTCAGCAGTTGCATTTTACCATTGGACACTCTTTCTAACATTTTATTTATCAATTTTAGGAGTCTCTTTAACAACTATGCTTATTTTATAATGAAGAGATCAGATATTTTAAACATTTTTGTTTTTGACTATTAAAACTATTTACATTAGTAATGTTGGTAAATTAAAATAAAGTGGTTAAATAAAAAACTCCTAATATTCCTAAATGAGTTAACAAATATTCAATAATTATCGATATCGAATGATATGAAACATGATATCATGACAATTATTTTTGCAATATCGCCCAGCCCCAGTTTCTAGAGGACCGCAGCAGCTCTTCACATTTTCCATGTCTCCTTAACCAAACACACCTGATTCAGATCATCAGCTCATTGGAAGAGACTGAAAGACATGTAATGATTGTGATGGGTAAAGGAGACATCCAAAACATGCAGTGTTGGTGGTCCTACAGGCACATGGTTGAGAAACACTGTTTTACAGTAAAACGGTAAATCTGAATTTATTTTGAACATCCAAGGCCTGGGGAACGTGTAGAAATCTGAGAGCACACATTCCATGCAAGTCCACACATGACCATGCCTTAAAAATAAGCTCAACTTTTGACTTTCCCTCCCTCTGAAACCACCACAGTAGACAGGAGATTGTGAAGAAAACTCGCATAACACTGATGAAGTGTACGTAACGGGACTAAGTCATTACACCATGCTCAAACAGATAGAGCAAACTCAGACCAACAGACCATATATATATATATATATATATATATATATATATATATATATATATATATAGATTTTTTTTTCCAAAAGTGAAGGCAAGGAAGAAATCAGATCCTGAAGAGCTTAGATACAGGTCCAGCCAAGGTAGCATTTGTGTATGTGTGTGAATATTAATTTAGAGGAACAATTTGATAATACGTGCTGTAGAAAGACAAAACTGGTGGCAATATTTTGTTTCAAGTGCAGGAAAGCAGAAATAATAAATGAGTATGGCATAAAGCAATTTGTAGTCAAGTACTTGAACAACAGAAATGCATTGTTTAAAGCCAAATATAACCTGCATGTTATTTAATTTTAAAACAAGAATGGATACTGCTTGGTTAACCTGAACAATCTAATTCAAACACATTTAAAGATTAAATAATAATAATAATAATAACTAATAATAATAACCGTCTCAAATCTCAAAGTCAAAATCTAAATGCAACTAAAGTGTATATTGTTTTTAATTATAAGACATACTAAGAGCTGCCAGTTGGCGTCTTTAGGGCTGTTTACAGAATAATAAAATGATAGAAATGTGGTTTAAGATTCAGAGTAAACATTTCAAACTGATATATTGTGGGCATTACATGTCAGCACATGAGTTGCAATGTTCAGATCTGAAGAGAGCATTGTGACAATGTCACTGGAGCTTTACTTGCAACTTTTCAATATCTGAAAAAAGCAGACATTTGTAGCAAATCGTCACCTTGGAGTTATAAGGTTCTATCTGCTTAATTATTTTGAGATATTGAACTTCTAAGTTTTTGCATTCCATATAGCAAAATATGTGCAGTTCTCTTTCATACATTAACATGACGGAGACCCTAAAAAAAACTCTAAATGTAAATTATCAAATTTGCAAATTGGAGTAAAAAAAAAAACAGGGTAAATGCAGATAGAAGTTTCTCATTCTAAAAAGTCATTACCCGCTTGGAATTATAAGGTTCTATCTGGCAGATCATTAATTGAGGCATTACTTTTCAAGAAATACAATTAAAAAAAATTAATTGTTGTTGTAACAATATGTTGATGTTTGTGAAAGTAAAACTTTTGCTTTCTATAACATTTACTTCATGTTTTAGGATGAATATTTGTTCTTGTTTCAAATTAAGCATACAAGGCTGTGCTAAATATTTTTTTTCCAGTGCAGCTGTGAATTCGATGTAATTAATATGTTAATGTTTTTATGAAGTATTCACCCTTTAAGGCTTAATATCAAATTTAAACACTTTAAAAGAAAGCAGACAATGAGCAAATGAGTTTAATAAACACTAACAAAGGTTTTACTGATTATTTATATATATATATATATATATATATATATATATATACACACACACACACACAAATACAAATATATTTAACATTTAATATATGCATTTTTAAAAAAGAGTTGTCTCTCAATCATCACATTTACACACACCTTTTTAGTTTCAGGTTTCTTTTCAATTTTGTGTGGTGTGCCATTATTTAGTCAAGTTTGATTTTGTGTTTCTTTCTGGTCTTTCCTGCTGTCAACAAAGCAATCTGACAAAATAACAAAGAAAACTGATCCCGATTGTTCCTCGTGCGTGTATTTGAAATGCTCATAGAAAGAACCTTATCGAGCCAAGCTAGAGTTTGACTGTAGATAAAACGTTTTTTGTGTGTTTTAAATAAAAAGTCTCAAAATGTTAACAATATTGTACATAGTGTAAGTTGTCATTTAATAAGAATATGTGACAAAAATGTCAGATAGAATGTTTTAATTCAAAGGTGACGAAATAAGTAGTAAATATTCAGTCTGATTTACCATCTGAGCTCTGGGATGATTAGCCCTATACCTGCTTACACAAAAAAAAAAATCAGTTCCAAAACAACTCCTGGGAGTAATTTCTGTCAATTAAAAATTCAAAGTATGTTAACCACGAACACAAAATAAACAGAATCCCCAAAGTTTATATATATATATATATATATATATATATATATATATATATATATATATATATATATATATATATATATATATATATATATATATATAATTTTTTTTTTTTTTTTTTTTTTTTTTTTTACTTGTTTAAATTTAAATGTATTAACTTTCCATTCCTAAAGATGTTCGGTGACCAAAGTCTTATTTTAATAGATATAACAGTTTAATAAAACTCTTTTTGTTTAAATCCACTAAAATATTTTGTTTATATTCTCTAAGAAATTGATCAAAATATTCATTTTCAAAAGGGGGCATACTCATTTATGCTGAGCACTGTATACATTAAATATCAATTGAAGAAAAAGCAGTTTGTGCTTGCAAGATAATCTGTAGGTCTATATATTTTATACAGTTTTGCTTCCACATTTGTTAAAATATATTTCTAAAATCAAATTAAATAAGGCATAGGTCTTATTGAAAATGTCTTAAAAAACATTACCCCTGAACATCACCTCTGCTTTTGGAACAGAAAAATATGTATGTAACATAAGCTGCTTTCTTGAAAACGGGCAGTTCATAAGACACTGAGATGTAAATAAAACGATGTAAGCATAGGTATCAGACTAAAGCAGATGTACAATAGGCCTTTTTTAAAGTCCGGGTGAAATTAATATTTAGTATTTAGTTTTCAATCATCAATCAAATGATGATCTGATTAGCGCGCATGTAAACAGCATTTGTTTAAAGGGATAGAAAATATATTACATAAAAATAAAATGTACTCATCCTCAAGTGATTCAAAACCTTTCTTTTTTTTACTGAAAACTTGTCAAAAATGTACTCACCACTCAATCACAAACCTTTTATCTTTTGAACACTAAGAAGAGATTCTGAAAAAAAGCTTTAAAAAAGCCTGTAACCATTGATATACTTAAAAGGAAAACAAAATACTTTGGTAAGTCAATGCTTACAGGCTTCCAACTTTTTTCAGAATATCATCTTTGTGTCCAAAAGAAGAAGCAGATTTGTGATAAGTGAGTGGTGGGTGAATTTTTGACAAAATCTTAGTATTTAGGTAAACTATCCCTTTAACGGTGTTTGCTGTGGGTAAAAAAGTGCTCTTCGGCCACAGAAAACTCTCTCATATCTCCTGGTGGCTTTCTTTCCATCATAAAAGCTGATCTTTATCTAGTGGAAAGCATGACCCTAATCAAAACCATAAAGATTGAAATGTCGCACACTTGGATCTTTCACCCTTTCATATCACAGTCTAACTTATGTAGTGTAACATGATTTACGTGAAGGGTTTAGCAATAATCATTTCAGCAAAGAAAACTCAAAGTGCAAATCGTGTTTTAGTAAACAAGTACTTGACTAGTTCCATTACTCATGCACATCCATAATACTAACCTCGGTGGCCATTTAAGGCATGATTGCCCACATGCATGTAGTTGTAATAGTATGCGTATGTATGTGTGTGAGTCGACTTCATACAGCCATTCATTTTACTGCGGTAGAGCTTTGAGGATAGCATTAACCTCTTCGGCCACAGCGGTGAGAGCAAACTCAAACTGATCCTGAGGAGAAAGAAAAACGCAGGTCAGCATGTTTTAAAAGCCACACAAAACCCATCCACACAACTCTTCTTTAATAAGACCGTCAGCACCAATGAAAATGATATACAGCAGTTACACTAAATGGTTATATTGAGTACAATAATGCTTTTTTACACTCACTGGCCACTTTAATAGGTACACCTTACTAGTACCAGGTTGGACCCCCTTTTGCCTTCGAAACTGCCTTAATGCTTCATAGTATAGATTCAACAAGATACTGGAAATGTTCCTCTGAGATTTTGCTCTATGATACATGATAGCATCACGCAGTTGCTGCAGATTTGTCTGCTGCACATCCATGATGTGAATCTCCCGTTCCACCACATCCCAAAGGTGCTCTATTAGATTGAGCTCTGGTGACTGTCTAAGCCATTTGAGTACAGTGAACTCATTGTCATGTTTAGATGAGTACAGTGTGGTCATAAAGGGATGGACATGGTCAGCAACAATACACAGGTAGGCTGTGGCATTGACACGATGCTCAATTGGCACAAATGCACTCAAAGTGTGACAAGAAAATATCCCCCAAACCATTACACCATCCGCCTGAACCATTAACACAAGGCAGGATAGATTCATGCTTTCATGTTGTTGACGCCAAATTCTGACCCAACCATTCGAATGTTGCAGCAGAAATCGAGACTCATCAGACCAGGCAACGGTTTTCCAATCTTCTATTGTCCAATTTTGGTGAGCCTGTGTGAATTGCAGCCTCAGTTTCCTGTTCTTAGCTGACAGGAGTGGCACCTGGTGTGGTCTTCTGCTGCTGTAGCCCATCCGCCTCAAGGTTAGACGTATTGTGCGTTCAGAGATGCTCTTCATACCTTGGTTGTAACGAGTGGTTACTTACAGTTCCCTTTCTATCAGCTTGAAACCATTCTCCTCTGGCATCAACAAGGCATTTGTGCCCACAGAACTGCCAATCACTGGATATTTTCTCTTTTTCTTCCCATTCTCTGTAAACCCTAGAGATTGTTGTGCGTGAAAATTCCAGTGGATCAACAGTTTCTGAAATACTCAGACAAGCCTGTCTGGCACCAACAACCATGCCACGTTCAAAGTCACTTAAATCTCCTTTCTTCTTCCATGTCTATGTGACTGAATTCATTGAGTTGCTGCCATGTGATTGGCTGAAATTTGTGTTAACAAACAGTTGGATAGGTGTACCTAATGAAGTGGCCGGTGAGTGTATATTTGATTTAGGTTGTTCTCTTCTTCATTACCTTGGTGCGAACCATTCCTGGTCTTTGATCTCGAATGTGCTCCAGGGTTGCAGCAATATCGATCTCTTTCACTCCTAAGTTAAAAACAAAAGCCATAAACTTTAATGAAATTAATATTTAGCATGCTTGACATAAATTAATAGTTCAACCTAAAACAAATTCCGTCATAACTGATTCACCCTGTACTTGTCACAAACCCATTTCAGTTTCTTTCTTCTGTTGAACACAAAAGAAGATATTTTGAAATACGTTGTATGCCACTGACATCAATAGTATTATCTTTTCCTACTATGGATGTCAACGATTGCTGGTATCTGACATTCTTCAAAATATCTTCTCATGTGTTTAAGGAAAAAAAAAACTCGCCTGTAATTGTATAGCGAACTATCAAACTGTCAATTTAACATTATTTATATGTTTCACAAGATTTGCATGAAGTGCTGACCTTTAGCCATGCGGTTCAGGACCATGTCAATCAGGATATATGTTCCAGTCCGGCCTGTACCATCACTGAACAGAAGGGTGAAACTGTGAGCAAAACACTCTGGGAAAAAAATACCTAATGTGCCATTGTGAACATAAAAAGGTTTCTGCAAAATTCATCAAATCAAATGTGAGACTTTGACAACTTTTGAATTAGATTAATTTGTAATCATAATACAGCAATCTGGACTAGTATCAGATATAGTTTTCCATGGACATATGAATATTAAAGGGATAGTTCACACAACACTGAAAATTTTGTCATCATTTACTCACCATTCACTTGTTCCTAACATGTTTGAGTTTTTTTCTTCCGTTGAACACAAAGCAAGATATACTGCAGAATGTTGGAAACCTGTAACCATTGAGTTCCATAATATTTGTTTTGGAATCGAATGGTTACAGCTTTCTTCTAAATATCTTCTTTTGTGTTCAACAGAAAAAAGAAAAAAAAAACTCATAAAGGACCACTAGAGGGAGAGCAAATAGTAAGTAAATTTTCATTTATGGGCGAACTATCCCTTTAAGACCCGTTAAAATAATTTAAAACATAGAAAGCACTTAAATGAATACTTCACCTAAAAGTGATCATTTACTCTTCCCCTGTGTGATTCAAAACCTTTTTTATTTTAATTTTCTCTGTTGAATACAAATGTGGAAGAAATCTGTAGCCATTGATTTCTATGGTATTTATTTCTCCTAAATGGATGTTAGCGGTTTCAAACATTCTTCTAAATAATGTTTTTTGTGTTCAACTAAAAAAAACTAAAAAAAAAAAACTAAAAAAAAACACTTGAGGATGAGTACATTTTCATTCTTGGGTGAACTATCCCTTTAAATGAATTGAGAAATATTAAGAAATGTTTTACTTTAAAACCCTGTGGAAACCCTGAGCACTTCATATCTTTAAAATACAATCTGTTTTTCAAAACACCTTCTAATAAACAGTTTTGTAGGTTCCACCTCTCTTACAAAACAAACGAAACTATGCTTAAAACTTTCATTTAATGGATTTTTGAATTTCTCAAATGCATCAGTGTTTCAGAAATACCTGCAGTGCACAATGATGGGGCAGGAGCGTCCACGGTAGCACTTGTTGACTTTCCTGAAGGACAGAAAGAAAGATTTTTCTGAAGGAAATACCAGTGTTTATAAGTCAGATTAGCTCGGGATTTGGTAGTGTGTAAAGTGACGATTAGCAGTTTCTGACGTTTATGAAGTATATGTAACTAAATGACAGAAATCTATTATGCAAATATTATTCATTTGAATTCAACCATTGATGCAAAATGTATTGGTCACACTTTACAATAAGGTTTCATTAGTTGATGTATTTACTAACATGAAATAATAATGAACAATTCTGCAGCATTTAATAATGATTTTTTACAAAAACATTTACTAATGCATTATTATCATCTAAATTCATGCACTCTCAGAAATAAAGGTACAGGAGCTGTCACTGGGGTGGTACCTTTTCAAAAGGTACACATTTGTACTTGAAGGGTCCATATTGGCACCTCAAAAGTATATTAGTATCTAAAAACTTTAAGAGGAACACTTTTGTACTTTTTAGGTACTAATATGTGATAGTTACACATAGTTACACATATGTGATAGACCCAGTGACAGTCCGCGTACCTTTATTTCTTAAAGTGTGCTTGTTAAGTTAATGCACCATGAGTTAACATGAATTAACAATGAACATCTGTATTTTCAATCATTTACGTTAGCTAATATGAAAAAATACTGTAATAAATGCTGTGTTTATTGTTTGTTCATGCTAGTAGATGCATAAACTATTATTAACTAACACAACCTTATTGCAAATCTATTTATAAAATATACTTATACACTATATAACTGCAGGTTAACTATTTTTATATATAATAACGTTACCTGATAAAGTTATTAGTAATTAATTCATTAAAGTTTTTAGTAACTAATAACTTCAACTTTTCTGATTTAGATTGTAAAGCAATAATGTGCACTTTTGTAAAGCTGCTTTAATGTGCACCTTTTGTACAGCTGGAATAATCATGGTTGCGTTGTGATAATATATATTTTTGATTAATTAAGAAAGTAAATTTGTGAAACAATAACAACTAATTTAATGTCATTTATTTTGTAAAATCTTGTTGAAAAGCTGACTTTTCTTCATGAATTATGTTTTTAGGAAACATTTATTATTATTTATTGAATGCATCCTTGCTGATTTTTTTTTCTTTAAACAAAATCTAAATACATTGTTACATATATATACATACATACATACAGTTGGAGTCAGAATTATTTGTCCCCCTGTTTATTTTTTTCCCCAATTTCTGTTTAACAGAGGGAAGGTTTTGTTCAACACATTTCTAATCATAATAGTTTTAATAACTCGTTTCTAATAACTAATAACAGAATTTTTTTTATCTTTGCCATGATGACAGTAAATATGATTTTACTGAATATTTTTCAAGACACTTCTATGCAGCTTAAAGTGACATTTAAAGGCTTAACTAGATTAATTAGGTTAACTAGACGGGTTAGGGTAATTAGGCAAGTTATTTTATGATGGCATAATGGTATAATGGTTTGTTCTGTAGACTATCGAAAAAAGTTGGCTTAAAAGGGCTAATAAATTTGACCTTAAATGCTTTAAGAAATTAAAATCTGCTTTTATTCTAGACAAAATAAGACTTTTTTCCAGAAGAAAAATATTATCTGACATACTGTGAAAATTTCCTTGCTCTGTTAAACATTGGAAAAAAAAAATATATATATATATATATCAATAAATAACTATATATATATATATAAAATATATAAATATATAATATATCTAATAAATATATAATATATATATATAAATATATATATATAAAATAACTAATATTATATAAAACATTGTATATATAATATTATATAACTATAATATTTTTTCTTCTGAAGAAAGTCTTATTTTTTATTGCGGCTAGCAAAAAGCAGTTTTGTTTTTTGTTTTTATACTATTTTAAAGTCAATATTAATAGCCACCTTAACCATTTAACTACCTGCTCTACCAAATGTATGGACCACATTTTGACTTTTTTAAATAATGACTCTTAAAGTCATTTAAAAATGTCTGTTTTAAATAATGGTTTACACACACACACAGCATTGTTGGTTTACAAAAAAATCTAACTAACATAATCCTGTTGCACTACAACAATTGATTTTGCTATTATTGTAAAAAAAAAAAAAAAGCATGTTAAATGTGAATCTGAAAAATGTTATGGCATACTTCAAATAAAGGTGATTTTGTATTCAAAACCGTTTTATTTTTAATTTTTTTAATAAATTGGTCTTAAATTCATATTGTCTGATTTTTGTTATAGTATATGTATTAAGTCTACATATCTACCATATCTACTGATATTTTAGAAATTATGGGATGTGTTGAAAAAAAATGCATTGAGTGTGTTAACTAGGACCATTAGGAAATGCAATCCAAATTTTTTTTTCTTAATGGGGCAATATTTTATTCCAATTAGCTACTGAACAAGCTATATCTATACAATGACTTGCCTAATTAACCCAGTGAAGCCTTTAAATAGCACTTTAAGCTGAATACTGGTATCTTTAAAAATATATGTACTGTCATCATGGCAAAGGTAAAAAAAAAATCAGTTATAAAAAATCTGTTATTAGTTAAAGCATTATGTTTTGAAATGTGTTGGAAATATCTCACTATTAAACAGAACTTGGGGGAAAATATGAAAGAATTAAAATTGAACAGATGGGTTAATAATTCTGACTTCAACTATATGCAGATTACAACAAATATATTAATAATTTACAAATAGACACATTTATAAATCATTTAATTCAGTGTTTTACTAATATGAGATTTGAATTGATCAACATTTTGGAATGTATTTTCGTTCATTCATTCATTCATTCATTCATTCATTCATTCATTCATTCATTCTCTTTAGTCCCTTTATTCATCAGTGGTTGCCACAGCGGAATGAACTTATCCAGCATGTTTTACACAGCAGATGCCCTTCCAGCTGCAACCCAGTACTAGAAAATACCCATACACACTCATTCTCACTTGAACACATATAACTTAAAAGTTTAAGCTTAAAGAATCACAGACGTTTGTGTAAAACAAAACAAAAGGCTTTATCAACATCTAGGTTCGAGTAGAGACCCACAGAGATCAGAGGAAAAAGGATCAGGAGCACTGCACACAGCAGAGAGCCAAAAAGAAGAGTGTTATACAAACAGTGGTAGGAAACGAGCAACATCAACCTAACACTGAAAAGCACATCAGGACTTGAGTGGAGAAAGGAGTGAGATGTAGAAAAGAGACGGAGATGGACAGAGTTTGGCGATGGAGCGTTTCATCAGCGTTGCTGCAGTCACATCTGTCTGTGCTCATTTTTGTGACTATGCAACTGGAACCAGACTACTAGCTGCAAACCACAAAAATGACACAGACAGCTGTGCAATACCTCGCTACCGCGCTCCATCGCTCTCAGAAAGAGAGGTTGAGAGGTTAAAAGAGACAGAGGATGAGTGGGAAAAAAGAGAATGAAGGAGTGAGAGTGAAGCCATGATGGAATGGCAGGCAGAGAGAGTAAAAATAGGGAACGTAATGTGGAACTCACATATACATACAATACACATAGAACTGCCACAGTTTTGACGCACAAAATGACACTGTGGCTGCTAAAATGTTTAAATATAAAAAATATACATATTCTAATTGAATTTTTGTCATGTTTAATTTGACATTTACAGTGTAAGCTTACAACAAAAAAGAAACGGAATTTGTCATTAGCTCACACTGAATTTAATTTCAACTGTGTGATAATAAAAGTAGACTAAATATATAATAATAGCAATGTTGGTATAATTCGATTAATAATAACAAGTCAAAGTTGCCATGAAACCAAAATTTGCACTTCTTAATTTTAAATTTAAATATTATGGTCTAAGGACAAATTGAGTTCCCCCTAGAATCGGGTCTCATTCGGACCCTATGATCATCTGTCATAAATGCCACATGTCATAAATAATGCATTTAAAAATTATAGCGCCTGATAAGAAATGCTAAATAATTTTTCATTTTTTGTCTAGTTATGTACAGTGCTCAGCATGTATAAGTACACCCCTCACACATCTACCTTTTAAATTTATATTTTAATATGAAGCTTTACAATATTATATTTGTGCATATACATTAGATTAATCAGTACTCTGGAGGTTATCTAACAAATCAACTTACGATTACGGCCCAAAAACTAGTAGAGGCCAATATATAGGTTATAGAAAAATATTAAACACAAAGTTATAAAAAGAGAAAAAAATCAAGAGAAGCAAAAAAAAATTTGAAAAATTTAGTTAAAATTTTGTATGTAATTTTTTTGCAACATTTTGCTTGAATTTAATTGTATTATCTTTCAAGTTCTAAATTTGTTTGGAGAAAATATTATTTTGATAAATATATCTGCTTAATACATCTGTTTTGTTTAAATAAACCAACATAAATACATTGCCTATATTCACTGAGAAATGGATACAAACATTCATTTTCAAAATGGGCTGTACTCGATTATGCTGAGCACTGTATGTTTGTAAGCCCTGTGTATTTATGTATGTATTTTATTTTAGAAAAAAATATTTTTAATTTATTAAATCAAGGCTAACACAAAGCATGTAACATTTTGAGCACACCGGCTCTTGATCAGACTGCTCTAAACGTTACACACTTTGTGTTAGCCTTTTTAATTTAATAAATAGGTATTTTTGGAGCTTTTGTGTTGTCGCCATATTAAATACATTTTTGCACTTTTTGCTGTTTGGCTGAGCACCCATTTAGAGAGATGTGCGTGCTTTTTTCCCTCAATTCCTTATATCTATTTGCTTTTTCATATGCATACAGTCACCGGCCACATTATTAAGTACACCTTACTAGTACGGACCCCCGTTTGACTTCAGAACTGCTTTAACCCTTCGTGGCACAGAGACACGACACTGGATATTCCTCAGAGAGTTTGCTCCATATTGACATGATAGCATCACACAGTTGCTGCAGATTTGTCAGCTGCACATTCATGATGAGAATCTCCTGTTCCACCACATCCCAAAGTTGCTCTATTGGGTTGAGCTCTGGTGACTGTGGAGGCCATTTGAGTACAGTGAACTTGTCGTCATGTCCAATAAAACAGTCTGTGATGATTATAAGGGGTCATAAAGGGATGGACATGGTGAGCAACAATACTCAGGTAGGCTGTGGCGTTGACACGATGCTCAATTGGTTTTAATGGGCCTAAAGTGCCACCGCTCACTGGATTTTTTTTTTTTTTAGACCATTAGATTCCAGTAGATCAGCAGTTTCTGAAAAACAGCCAGCCAGTTCAAAGTCACTTAAATAAAAATAAAAAATGAATGGTCATTATAATGATTTTTATTTGATATAAATTAGAACGAAGGGTGACACTGTGGCTCAGTGGTTAGCACTGTCACCTCACAGCAAGAAGGTCGCTGCTCGAGTCCCAGCTGGGTCAGTTGGCATTTTTGTGTGGAGTTTGCATGTTCTCCCTGTGTTGGTGTGGGTTTCCTCCGGGTACTCTGGTTTCCCCAACAGTCCAAAAACACGCGGTATAGGTGAATTGAATAAATTAAATTGGCCGTAGTATATGTGTGTGAATGAGCGTGTATGGTTGTTTCCCTGTACAGGGTTGCAGCAGGAAGGGCATACGCTTGATAAAAAATATGCTGGATTAGTTGGTGGTTCTGCTGTGGTGACCACTGATGAATAAAGGGACTAACCGAAGGAAAATGAATGAATAAATTAGTATGTGATTTCACAGAAATTGTAACCAGGCACTATGAATACTACCCAATAAATTCAAGTGAACCAATAGAATCACTCATGGTCCTATTGAAGAGCCGATTCCAAATTTGTCATGACATTGACGGTACGTCAGGTAGAGAGGAATCTTGCACAACTGGGGGCAATCCTGCCATTCTAATTTCCTTCACTTTGTTAGCAACACCTAACAAAATCAAGTCCTGCCTACCTTATTTTTTCCCAACCATTTCAGAAGCCATTTCACTTGGATATACATCACAATTAGGAAAAAGTCACAATCTAAACTTTCGTTTCATGGCAACTTTAAATATTTATAATAAAAAAGTGCATTTTTAATCATAATCATTATGGCAGTCCGTATATTACGGTATAAAATAATACCATCCGCTCATTAAGTTGTGACAGTTGGAATAGTGCTTCCGGGTCCAAACCTCTACTCATCTATATTACAAAAAATCTCAACAGTTGATTATGACCATTATAATCAAAAGGTTTTTAACTTTCACAGTCTCTGTATCCCAGACTCCAATATTTAAACCATTTATAAAACTGTGAGGTTATGCATGAATATAAACATTACAATCATAACTTTTTAAAAGTGTGAGGTTATGCATGGATATAAATATTACAATCATGATTTTCAGTAGCATTATAGCAACCTGTGAGCATATATTAGCATCAATTGTTCACTTTTTAGTATCTGAAAGAGTATTTGCCGTTTGGACCAAGAAACTGTGGCACGTCACATCAGACTCAATGAGCAGATTGTATACAACTCAGGTTGTATTTCATAATAACCTCATAATCATCTCAAATAATTGGCATTAGTATATATCACCATTATCAGGTAATTAGGCTGTTCACATTCACATTTAAAGTGATCTTTTTATTAGTATATTATGTATGCAGTACCTGCGAAAGTCCAGCAGAGGGCGTGTGGAAGTGGGTATTCCCTGTGCGGGCCAGCTTAGGAAGTGGAACTGAGTCAGGGTGCGAGTTTCCTGGGTTTGGACGTTCTTCAGGTAGAAACTACGCACCAGGAAGTCATTACACCAGATATGCTCAGACACCAGGTTCACCTGAGTGAGACATTTATTAAAATAAAAATGTGGTTTGCCTACAATAAAATGTAGTTTAAAGAGATTGTTCATCCAACCTGAAGATTCTGTAATGATTTACTCACCCTTTACTTGTTTCAAACCTATTTCACATCCTTTCTTCTGTTGAACATAAAAGAAGATATTTCAAAGAAATCTGGAAACCTGTAACCATTGACTTCCATTTTTTCCCTACTATGCAAGTAATTGGTTACAGGCATTCAGCTTCTTCAAAATATCCTATTTAGTGTTTAACGGAAGAAAGAATCTCATAAAGGTTTGGGACCACTTGAGGGTGAGAAAACAGTAAGTTTTTATTTTTGGGTGAACTATCGCTTTAAGTAGAATAAACATTACAATATTTTTGACAATGCAGTATATTTTTGGACATTTTGAAGCAAACCTCGTAGATGTGGTATAGAGAAGAGCCTTCATCGGGCCAGTAGCGATCACACTGCTTTTCTCCATCCTCAACCAGAGCTGTCATCATCACTATGACTGTACACCCGCTTTCCCAAACCATCTGTGCAAACATGCACGGCTTACAAAATATGCATTTTAACCAGTTTTTACATTTATACACAGAAAACAAGCATCACTTCATACACTGAACTCAGGGGTGTTGCTAGACATAAAGCTCTACTGGGGCACGCCCAACCCCATTAAAAAAATAAATAAATAAATAAAATAAATATATATATAAAAAATTTTTATATATATATATATATAATATTTTATAAATACAAAAACAATATTTATTATAAATAAAATTATTATTGTTATTATACAATTATTATTCTAAATAAATAACAGAAATGAATCCTAAAAATACTAAAATGTACTGAAAATGTAACTGGAAATACTAGTAATGTAACTGGAAAACAATGCACACAAGACACAACTAGAGTGATATGCTAAGATCATTTAGAAAATCTTTTGCATGAATATAAATTTTATTAGAATGAAATTCTATAGACAGTTCTATATAATACAAAAAAGATGTTTTATAGAATTATCTGTTGTCTTAGACTTGACTTATGGCAGAGAATTAGGTTTATTAAGTATCCCTGACAGTATGCATGATAAGATCACCATCATATCATTTAAACTTTAGTTTTGTCGACTTGCAAAACTCACTGCGTGCCGACACCTCCACATAAAAGGCTGTATCACGGTGGTTTCACAGTGCATGAGCTGCAGGTGAGCAGCAAGTAGCCTACTTTTTTCGGCTAATGTTAACAACCAGAATTCGCACCGGGAGAAGAGCAGGTGTGTGAGGGTTTTTTGCGCACATGTGGAGATGCAACTGCTTTTTGATTAAACTACATTGCTTTCACCATCGTTGGTTCGGTTGCATTGCACATAAAGAATTACGTCTTTATGCTGTGATTCTTAATAAATCAATCATATAATAGTAAATCATATCTCAAAGCATTTACTGGGGCACTGGCAATTTTAACTGGGGCACATGCCCCAAATTGGGTCTAGCAACACCCCTGCTGAACTGCTTAAATGAACAGAGAATTCACATTCATTCATTCATTTTCTTTTCGGCTTAGACCCTTCATTAATCTGAGGTCACCACAGCGGAATGAACCGCCAACTTATCCACCATATGTTTTACGCAGCGGATGCCCTTCCAGCTGCAACCCATCACTGGGAAACATCCATCCACACTTATTCACATTCATAAACTAAGGACAATTTAGCCTAACAGATTCAACTGTCCTGCATGTCTTTGGACTGTGGCACCCAGAGGAAACCCACGTGATTGCGGGGAGAACATGCAAACTCCACACAGAAATGCCAACTGACCCAGCCGAGGCTCAAACCAGTGACCTTCTTGCTGTAAGGCGAGAGCACTACCTACTGCGCCACAATGAAATTTTTGGTCATATTTATTATTATCAATGTTGTGCTATTTTTAATATTTTTGTGAAAATTTTGATTCACTTTATTTAAGATTAGTTTGTGTGCATTTCAACATTACATGTCTTTAAAACAGAATTTTTCAAATTTTGTAAAATAGTTTCAAGGCAGAAGATTAAACTGAGTATTGATCAGTTTAACCCATCCTTCTTATATAATTATTAAATATGCATTAATATATAACCACTGATCTGACTCTTTTGGATTAAGATTTTAAGAATCTTATTTGATATATTGGTTTCACTTTTTCCCAAATCCCATTTTGTCTATTTTGAAAGGAAAGTCAAGTATGAACTTAAAGCAGTAATCACAAAACTTTTCTTCTCTGTTTTAATTTGAGAAATAAAGGAAAATCTTAAAAATTAAATAAATGCATTGTATCGTTGCAAAATTTTAGAAATGTACAAATGACACTTAACTACTGAAATAGAGTCCAGAAAAATAAAAAGGGATAGTTCACCCCAAAATTTTCCAACCATTTCCTCAAGCTCAAAGGGTTATAAACTACTTCTGTTGAACATAAAACAAGATATTCAGAAAAAATACTGGGAAAAGCAGCCATAAACATAACAGTAGGAACAAAGTCCATTGAAGAAACACATAATACTGTAGAATTCAATGGCTGTTTCCAACATTCTTCAGTATATCTTCTCTTGTGTTCAACAGAAGAAAAACAAATGGAGGGTGAGTAAATGATGACAGATTTTACATTTTTGAGTGAACTATCCCTATCATTTTAAGTAGCAACAATAAAATGGATTTTTTAGGAGCTTTATATCCTAAAATGCACTAATTTTATTTCTCAAATTTTGCTTTATTCCTTTTAAAATGCATAATGCACAAAGGAGAAAAGTTGTGAGTATTACTTTAAGTTGAACCTGCCGAATTTTAAATCATCTTTTTGCACTTTAATACTCACACAAATTACATCATATTGCAAACCTACAAACCTATCCTATCTGCAACCCTGCATTTTCAGATCTCTGCATTATACATTAAACTCTGACTGGATTACGCAATTTTGTCTGCATGAATTACGTAATTCTCACATTTACACGGCTGACTGACCTGCCAGAAATCAGAGATGGTGTGTGAGAGGGGTCCTTGGGTGGCGATATACGCTGGCATCCGGGGGTCATGCTCAATCTAAAGGGTCAACAGGAGACAAAAAGTCAAGGGTCAGTGCTTTAGACCTTCTTAACCCTGGATCTGCCCATCACCACGACAACAAGCCATTAATGTGATCCGAGTTGCATGAAGGCTTAATTGATGATCTCTCGCTCTCGACTACAACAGAACAGTGGGGGATTCCAGACCTACACGTCCTGAATGAGATCAATACAATGTAGCCATGGCAGCACTAAGAGGGGGATTCCGAAAGCACCATGTCTATTAGGAATAAATGGATTATCGCCTTGGTAACAGAAAGGGATGCAAAGAGCGCAGGGCTTTCTAGCTTTGTCTAGCAGAAAAAAATGAAGCGGACTTCAATCTAGAGCTGCACAATATATTGTTTCAGCATTAACTTTGTGATGTGCACATCTGCAATGGTCACATTGCAGGATGTGTAGTGTAGTCGGGATTATAGTTGACAAGACAGTTCAGAACACAGATGATTTGTGCACTCATTGAATAAAGTTTATAATTTGCATTTGTTTTAAGTATTTCAAGCAATACATTATCAAGTTTGTCGCTTTAATGAAGACTAATCATTTAGAGTTGAAATCAGAATTATTAGCCCTTCTGAATTATAAGCACCCTGAATATTTTTCCCGTAATTTCTGTTTAAACATATTAGTTTTAGTAACTAATTCCGAATAATTGATTTATTTTATCTCTGCCATGATGACAGCAAGGTTATTATATTAAACAAAAACTACAGAAAAAATTAAAGCTAGACTTGACAAAACTTTTTCATTAAATGAAATAAAAATAAAAATGAGAGTTTAAAAAATAAAAAACTAGAAATAACTGAAACTGATTGTGTACATACTAAGCTAACTAAAATTACAGCAAAAATGTCCATAGTTTTCATCTTTGAAAATATATTTAATAAGCCTACTGGATGCCTTTTAGAAGTATGTCTATTTACTCCGCACTACCAGATGTTTGCCCCGTACACGTACAGCACCCCAGAGTCTGTAAACTTCATGGCATTGGCCAGATCAAGCCTCCTCCAGTCAGTCGTCGATGTTGCAAAACGTTATTGTAAGAAACTTTTCAGATCATAGTGATGTTTTAATTCACTATGACTGCAATTATGATTGCTGACTACATACTTTTGATATGTTGAGGCCTAACATGGGGGATTGTCACAAAACATCCGTTCGCGCTAAAGATCTTTACTATAACTTCCCATCACTACTTTGTATCTAACCTCAGAAGCAGCCTTGCACACATATTTTGCTTGAGGCAGCTATCTTGTGGGCTGTTGTATTTGAGTTTGAGAACGGTAGTGTTCTTGTAGACTATCTTTGGTTGAGTATTTATTATACAATATTTAACTAAAACTAATACTGAAACTGTAACTGATAAAAACTAAACTAAAACTAAGCAATTTTAAAACAGAAACTAATAAAAACTAGTAAATCTCTCTCTAAAAACTAATTTAAACAAACTGAATTTGAAAACAAAAAGTCAAAAAACAAATAAAGAAATAAATGAAATTATAACAAATGAAAAATACAAAACTATTATAACCGTTAATATTGTACTAGATATTTTTCAAGACACTAATATTCAGCATAAAGTGACATTTAAAGACTTAACTAGGTTATTTAGGCAAGTTAGGGTAATTAAACAAATCGCTGTATAATATAATCAAAAAAGTATTGCTTAAGGGAGCTAATAATTTTGACCTTAATTTTTTTTTATTAAAACTGCTTTTTCTAGCCAAAATGAAACAAATAAGACTTTCTACAAAAGAAAAAATATATATTATAGGAAATACTGTGAAAAATTCCTTGCTCTAATAAACATAATTTGGGATGTATTTAAAAAAGGAAATAAAATTCACACGAGGGCTAATAATTTTGACTATGTATGATGAACATTAGATTTTTTTTCAAGAGACAAACTCTTCTCTCCATATGCACCAGACAGTTTTTTATAATCACGCTATGTTTCACCAAAAATATTGTGCAATACTGAGTGTGCATCATGCAGGTAAGTGGGATATATATATATAGATACATATATATTTAAAGTCAGAATTATTAGCCAACTTTCGATTTGTTTTTTCTTTTTTAAATATTTCCCAAATGATGTTTAATAGAGCAACGAAATTTTCACAGTATGTCTGATAATGTTTTTTTTTTTTCTGGAGAAAATCTTATTTTATTTCGGCAAGAATAAAAGCAGTTTTACATTTTTTAAGAACCAAGGTCAAAATTGTTAGCTTTAAGCTATTTTTTTTTCGATAGTCTACAGAACAAATCATCTTTATAGTATAACCTGCCTAATTACCCTAACCTGCCTAGTTAACCTAATTAACCTTGTTAAGCCTTTAAATGTCACTAAGTTGTATAGAAGTGTCTTAAAAATTATCTAGGAAAATATTATTTACTGTCATCATGGCAAAGATAAAATAAATCAGTAATTAGAAATGAGTTATTAAAACTATTATGTTTAGAAATGTGTTGAAAAAAAATCTTCTCTCTGTTAAACAGAAAATTAGGGAAAAAAATAATTCAGGGGGGCTAATAATTCTGACTTTAACTGTATATATACATATACAGCATATATATATTTATATACACCATGTATGTTAATATGTGTTTAAGTATATGGGTGTGCATATATGCATGTGTATGTTTATGTATCTATAAAACATAAAAAATAAACTGCTAAAATAACTTAAATGTAATGGTATCTATTTATTGCTGCTCTCCTGTAATATGATGTGCTTCTCTTATCTTCATTTGTAAGTCAATTTGAATAATATCATCGGCTAAATGAATAAATGTAAAACTGTAATGTAATGTGCATTTATATAGCACATTTTATTGTGTATAGTCCTACACCCAAATCCCTTTACAAATGGTGTAAGGGGGTCTCTTTACCATCACCACAAGAAAAAAAAACAGCACCACTAGTTTTTTCACCACCAGTGAAAAAAAATGTACTGTTCAACTCTGCAGAAAAACACACAGTACTGATTATTTCATTTGTATCTTTACTTTAGTGCATTCATCAATGCTGGTCATTTGTGGATTCCAATTTATGCATATGCACTCCACAACTAAATCTTCCCGATCAATCTGAAATGACAAACTCTTTTCAAACAGAGCTTTTCAAGTCATCTAGTCAAATTGTATTCATATATTACCTGACAAAAGTCTTGTCGCTTATCAAAGTTTTAGGAACAACAAATAATAACAACTTCTAGTTGATCATTTGGTATCAAAAGTGGCTTATATGAAAGGCAAAGGCCTCTAGAATACACTTATGATCATGCTTTGATATTTAATTATTTAATTCTGACAGTAAAATTTGACTTTTCTTAGACAAAAGTCTTGTCACTTAACAGAAATAATGTACAGTAAAGAATATAAAGTCATGATGCACTGGAAAAAGAGTTGATATTGTGTATGACTCCCATGAGCTTGAAGGACTGCATCCATACATCTCTGCAATGACTCAAATAAATTATTAATAAAGTCATCTGGAATAGCAAAAAAAAAAAAAAAAAAAAGCGTTCTTGGACTCCCAGAGTTCATCAATATTATTTGAATTCATCTTCAATGCCTCCTCCTTGATCTTACCTTGAGCGCTATCCTGCTGAAGAATTTGCCCTCTCCTATGGTTTGTAATGTTATGGGCAGCACAAATGTCTTGATACCTTAGGTTGTTGATGTTTCCATAATTTTTGCAGATCTCTTGCAAACCCCCATACTGAATGTAAAAGTGAATGATTTTTCCTTTCCAAACTTGACCGATTTCTCAAGTATCTTGGGTCCATGCGGATTAAATAGGTCTTCTGCAGTATTTGTGATGATTAGGACTTTTCTAAATGATCAACTAGAAGTCAAGTTATTATTTATTGCTCTTACAATTGGAATGGACGACAAGCCTTTTGTCAGGTATTGTATATATTGCACAATAACACAATTTCACAATGTCAGTTTTTCCCAATATCATGCTTCAAATGTCTTGTTTCTGATTCTAAAGAGTGATGAGTTCCACAGAAAAGAGTACCACCATACTTACAATGGTGCTGGCATTGATGTAATCTGTCCTGGATGGGTTAATCTCAGCTTTCAGCTTCACTCTGGAATGGTCATCTGCATAAAACATGTGACATTTACACATCTAATCAATTAAAAATAGATGAGGTCGGTCAGGGACTGTGATATGCATGATGCATTCCAATCTGTGCACTATTCTATGGTATTTTAAGTATAAATGATGGTGTGCTGATACTGAAAGTCAAGCTGATGCTCACTAACTCTTCACTTACATAAAAAATGAAGGAGTTTTAAGAGAGACAGAGGGGTGAGGGAGTACTCACAGGGCACGGCATCCGAGCAGCGGTTCTTCTTGATGTTACTTTCACTCTGAGCTGCTGAGATGGTGCTGGGTTCTGCCTGGTAGGAGCACAGAGCCTCCCACTCTTTAAGCAAGCGGTCTTTATTCTTCAGATGATCTTCCATATATGCCTAGAAAACATGAGAGAGAGAGATAGTGTAAACTCCTGATTTCTCAGAAATGTTGCTTATTCATGTGATACTTATAAAAAAATGCTAAAGTACTAGCAATATGAAAACACAAAACAAAACATTCTTTGTATAAACATGGAGTAAATATGAATGTTTATAAATGGCTCGAGGGAAGATCATATTAAAGTGCTCGCTGGAGAGAAATAATTAAGCTCACACCAAGGATGACACAGAGAAATGATATCTCAGAAATTATGTTCAGAACTAATTTATTACCAGCTCGTAAACAATAGAAATATTGAAAGGCAATAAAAATGTTATAATTTAACTAAAGTTACTTTTGTTTTTTGTTTTCTTTAATTATCTAAATGTATTTTAATTTAGGTATATTTTTATTAAAATAATAGTCAGAGAAAACAATAATTGAGTTAATTTGTGTGTATGTGTGGATGTTTGCCAGAGATGGGTTGTGGCTGGAAGGGCATCCGCTGCGTAAAAACGTGCTGGATTAGTTAGCGGTTTATTCCGCTGTGGCAACCCCAGATTAATAAAGGGACTAAGCTGACAAGAAAATGAATGAATGAATGAATGAGTTAATTTATGAATGAGTTTATAAAGACATTAAATGTTTAAGATTTTAAGACTTTTTTAAAGACCCTAAATTGAAGAAGGGCAAATTGTGGCTGCATCTAAAATCACATACTTCTATACTATATAGTACACTAAAATCAGTATTCGAGCCGAGTAGTATGTCCGAATTCTTAGAATTCGAAAATCAGGAAGCGAAGGTACCTGAATGACCTACTTCTTCCGTTGGGATTCTGAAGTGCACATCTTATGATGCCTCGCGAGAGATTTCATAAATGGGAGTGAAGCGATGCAACTCACGAGGGTAGGTCACGTGATCTTGACAAAATGGAGGATGTGGTATGTCCAAATTTTATTCATACTGCTCACATTTATATTGTAAAGAACGTACTTTTTTAATGGCCGAGTAGTACGTTTAAATTCAAATGCAGTACCTACTGAGTAGTAGGCGGTTTTGGATGCAGCCTAAGAATTTTCAAGGCTTTTCAAGAGTGTACCTGTTAAAGGAACACTCCAATTTTTTTGGAAATAGGCTCATTTTACCAGTCCCTTACTTTTAGCTTAGCTTAGCATAAATAATTGAATTGGATTAGAAAAATTAGTTTTCAAAAAAAAAATTCAAAATAGTTTTAATAATTTTCTACGGAAAATGAAAAGTTCCTTGATTATTATGCCAGAATGAGAGTATAGTTCCTGGCCATATCGACAAGGAAAACAGCCTCTCTTAGTTCATGATGAGTAAAATGCTAATAGTCTAATCTAGTTCAATGATTCTTAAACTAAGCTAAAAATGCTTCTATCAGACCCGTAGATCAGCTGAATGAATTATTAAATGGTAAAACTCAACTGTTTGAGTTATAGTTTATTTTAATTAACTAAGAAAACAACTAAGAAATTAACATCACCTATAATTAATTAAATCTTTAAGGTTAGTTAAATTAACTAATGTTAACTATTGGAACCTTAATGTAGAGCTATTGTACTCTATTGTAAAGTTAAGAGTTTATTCAATCAATATTTAAGCATGTAGTGGTCCAGATTACCAGATAAAAATCATAACCAATTAAGTTAACTAATTAACCAATTAAGTCACCAAAGATTTGCATCTGTAATAAACAATACTGCAAATACAATGTGAATATTTATTCTTAAACAGCATAAATCATTTAATTGAATTAGAAAAAATTTCAAAAAAATTTCAAAATAGTTTTAATAATTTTCTACTGAAAATAAAAAGTTCCTTGATTATTATGCCAGAATGAGAGTATAGTTTCTGGCCATATCGACAAGGAAAACAGCCTCTCTTAGTTCATGATGAGTAAAATGCTAATAGTCTAATCTAGTTTAATGATTTATGTTAAACTAAGCTAAAATGCTTCCATCAGACCTGTAGATCAGCTGAATGAATTATTAAATGGTAAAACTCAACTGTTTGAGTAATAAAGAGGAGTTATAAAATTTCCACAAAAAAAAAAAGTTGCCTGTTCCTTTAAAGCCCTCAAGAATAAAATACTCATAAAAGCCCTTATTTTCAGCACCAATTATTTCTCTCCACACTTTGGAAAAATGTTGCAAAAGTGGGCTGGGAAAGCTGAGCTAGAGAAGAGGAAACACAACCAACACTGATTTAAGACAGTTTAATTTTGCCATTGTTGATCTAAAAGCAACAAATCTTCAAAACACACATTGCAGTTCACTTTGCAGTGATCATTCCTAATGTGAATTTGCACTTTTTGTTATTAAAAAATATGTCTACCAGAATCATGTGCCCAGTGGAGATATCCATGTTAGACTGTGCTGGCTCCTCGCACCAGGAGGGGGTGCTGCTGTGTGAACTAGGACTTGGCTGAGGGGCGTCGCTAAACTGTGAAGACACACTGCTGACACGTGACGTATCTGTTCCTCCACCGCCACCTCCTCCCACAGCTCCCGGTCCAGCACCACCTGCAGCTCCGACGCCACAGTCCTGCCTGCCCAGAGAGGACTTAGCAGCCATGTGCTGCCGACAAAGATCCTGAGACATAACCAAATTGGAGAATTCATGAGAAAGAAAACACTGAAAAGCTGCAACACCCACTATTCACAGTAACTGATACTGAAGCTAATCAAATTGCTTTGGTTCTCTTAAATTAAAGTCATATAAAGTGGATTGCATAAGAGTGAGATAGCAAAATTCCATAAATCACTCAAATAATTTGGGAGGAAATAAAAGCTGTAATATATTATGAATATGATGTTTTAGACACTACACGCATTTCCCCCTACCTGGTACTCATAATGTGTCACGTTTCCTGCTTCAGGCCCCAGTCCCAGTTTCCCTGATGCTAAATGACGGGCATGAGTGCGCAGACAGGCGATGGTCAACGCCCCCACCAGGAGTCCACCCAAACAAGCCACACCCACAAACATGAGGAAGACCCACTGGGTGTTGTCACGAACACGTGTTGCCACAGGCAACGCATGGCCTTCGCTCTTCTGCAGAGCCGGAGAGAGGAGATAAGAACAAACATATGAATCACACCTCATTAGGCCTGTTCTTCTTCTGTATCTTCTAACTTCTATTTTGACTTATCAATATGTAGACATATCGCAATCATTTTTGGTGGCATGATATATTTCCTTTTTTTTTTACTTAAATTACTATCCTGAACATTTTAGAATAGATGATAACACAGAATTTGCTGTCTTATCTGCTCTCCTTTTATTGTTGTTGTTGTTATTACTTTTATTATTATTACTAACTACACTGATACAGCAGTGAGTAAAATCCAGATAATATTAATATTAGTAAAACATACAACTGAATTTTAATTAACTAAGTTTTAATAACCTAAGAAACAACTAAGAAATTAACATCACCGATAATTAAATCTTTAAGGTTAGTTAAAGTAACTAATGTTAACTATTGGAACCTTAATGTAGAGTTATTGTACTCTGTTGTAGAGTTAAGAGTTTATTCAATCAATATTTAGGCATGTAGTGGTCCAGATTACCACATACAAATCTTAACCAATTAAGTTAACTATTTAACCAATTAAGTCTCCAAAAATTTGCATCTGTAACGAACAATACTGCAAATACAATGTGAATATTTATTCTTAAATAGACCTCTAAAGGTTTAAATGATAAATAGTTATTCACTGTATTTTGAAGTGTCCACAAGTGTCTACATAATGTTCATTCAGGGGGTCAACTGTTTCAGTTAGTTTGTGTAATACATGCTTCAGTCATTTATGTATTTATTTTTAATGACATCTAGTTTATTGATAAAAGCGTTTTGAGGGAAATTCAGTGTATTCTGACCTACAGTATTCTCTGATTAGCTATTTCAGATGCTACTGTACGTTAAACTACAAACTATGCATCTAATTTGATTTTATGTTCAGGCTTAATATAGATACAAACAAGTGTTTTACAAGAAAAAGTCTTGTGAACATGATGTCTATAGGTGCTCCAGATTTTAGACTTTTTTCTTGAATAGACTGATTGGCGGGATTATTACCAATTATTACCATTATAGAGGTGGTCAAATGTATATTTATTTCATCTATTATTTTAATTATTAACATTATTATTTAAAATACAGATCAAAGTGAAATATTTCTCAGTATTAAAGAACTGACCCCCCATATTTCCCCCTGTAGATACCCCCCTGTAATTCGCACCCTGATTATCAGGATAGATTGGATCATTGAATATGTCTAATTCATTGAGCTATTGAGCTCTTATCAACAAGTCACCCCCGCGTTAGTAATTTTAAATTGAAATGAGCATTGCATCATTATATCTGCCATGCAGGCAGACACTCCGAAATGTTGTATTTGCGATGAATAATTATAAAACAAAACGACATACCATTTTATTACGATTATTTATGGACAAATATATTGCACACCAAAAATTTTGTAGTTAGTGAAAGGCTTGCGAGTTAATAATGCATCAAATTGCCAAAATAAATGTTGTTCTACCATGGTTTTCCTTGTACAAATCACTCTTTTAGAAACCCACAGCTTTTTATCCCAAGAGGAACCATATTTCTCTTTAAATGGAATTAAGAGTGAGGGTAAGGAAGGTAAAGGCGAGTATTAATAATGGCTATTTAAAACAGTACTGCCCATCCCACCCTGCTGTCTGGAGCTATGATCTCAGTGGGGTCACTGGTTGCTATGGCAACATCACATCATTTGATGTGAGAACCACGGTCGTTAAAATGACAACAGACAGCAAGGATCTGATTAGAGGAAACATAGGGGGAAAGACTATCTTAATCCTTTATTACAGCTCGTTGCAACACACAAGAATCCCACCCATCATATTCCCCAGTCTTATTTCTCTGCTGGAATGATGCAGACCACACAGGAGCCAGAGCATTACATCATCACTCCTGTGCACACCGCACTGACCTTGTCGCCACAGCAACCATCTTTACCTGACATCACTGTCTGTGTGGAGATTCTAAATGCAAATCATTCCGATTGGTCATTTTCTTATTGCGCGTTCTGTATTTCAGCAAATCACTGAGCAGTTCAAGGACAAGCGTTTAATGGCTACAGCAGGTTCCTAGATTCAAATAAAAACAGTCTGGCTGGACTTTAACGCAGCCTATACATTTATTTAGGCGTTTATCAGGGGCTAAAGCCACTGACTTCGAAGGATGAAGAAAACGAATTCTGGTAAAACCGTGGTCACAATTAACGCCTTAAGATACTGCAGGTGGATATGATTAATAAAATAATAATAATAATTATATATATATATATATATATATATATATATATATATATATATATATATATATATATATATATATATATATATAAATCAGAACACTGGTCAGATTCAGGCTCTAAATGTGTTTCATTTTGTTAACGTTTTTTTTTTCTGAGGGAATTTTGGGAATGTCTTTCATTACTCTATACTGAAAAAAATGCATCTTTATAATTTGTTTGTAGAAAACAATGTAGCCTACATTATTAGGCAAGTTATGCATCAACATATCCCTCTGTAAAAACCTTCATAATATCGATATAAATAAAACTTTATGTGAATAAAATTTGTGGTTTCTGGCTTAATACAGAGAAACATTGAGAAAATATTATTTGTAATTCAAATCTACAGACACAAATTGATAAATTGCAATTAAATAAATACTTAAAGGTAACATCTAGATGTGGCATTTCCCTTAAACTGTAAAAAAAACACTTCTTAAAAAGCCAAAAAGTCATAAAAATTTAGTTTTTGCCTGAGCGTCTCGCCTTGATGTAACTAGTGAATTCATTTAGGTTTTTACAATTCACATCATGAGCCTGAAACCACTGAATCCTGTTCAAATCCATTTATAAACAATTTTAAAGACATTTTTTCTCAGCCATATGTGATCTGTTTGAGATAACTCCAATAATAACCTGTCTGAGTAATCGAGTAAACTAATATGACAGTAACGTTAGCTGGTTCATTCGCTGAATAAAAGCAGATTTATTGTTTTTATTTTTTTTTTACTGAGCAGGTGCACCCGTTTAATTAAAACGGTTGATAAAACGTAACACAACATCAATATAACGTATCATTTGATTAAGTTCAAGGAAAAAGTTTAACTTACCAAAAAAAATCAATGAACTAATGGAGAATGGAAACCGGTCGCGCCCGGTGCTCCGCTGAAGATGGGCAGAAATATACGTGCAATAACTGTACATCTCTTCTCCGCGGTTTAACATTTGAATTTCGGTCGTTTTTGTTAGGAACTGAAACGTTTGGTGGAGTTTTAGCTCGCGGGAAACGAGTAGCGGTTGAGGAGGTCAGCCCTGGAAAAGACATCGTGATGTTTTGCGGGAATGTTGCGTTTGTGAGGGGAGAAGCGTTTGGGATGCCAATCGGCCGCGCGCTTCGATTCGCGAACGCGCCTGACAATTTGACACGTATGATGTCGTTGTCATGGCAACAAAGCAAATGAGACGGGGGTGGGTGGGTGCGTGTCAGGGGTCTGGTGAGAGATCTCCGCCGGTGACAGAGACAGATATTCACGGGAAAGGGAAAAACATTGGGCACAAATGTCAAGGCATTGTGGTAATGTTTCTGCACACACTTACCTCACCGACACCTGCCTGAAGCACCTTCAGACCAGTCTCTGTTTCTAGAAGGTTCTTTTGAGCCACTGCATGTGAAGAAATAGAGACAGCTTTTTAGATTTCTTTCATTCTTATTTTTTTATTATCTTCAGTGAATCAACTGTACTGTCAGTTCACTAAAATTTTAATGTGATTTTTAACATCCCCTCTGCCTAACCCACCCCAACAGTGTGTCAGGTAGCTATCATAAATCCAATAAACAGAAATAAATAAATTAAGCTAAAAAGAAAAACATTAAAATAGGCATAATTATACTTTTAAAATGCGTCTCACAACATAAAAACATATTCAGCCTACAAAAATCCTAAATATTTTCCCCATCATGACTAACTGCTTGCGCATCTTTAACTAAGCCGCTTTTCCACTACCGTGCTGAATCGTTCTTTAAACAGAACTGTTCCATTCCGTGCCAAACCGGGCCAGACAGCACGGATACGGTTTCATTTTCCACTGTCGTGCTGCGACAAAGCTCTTTAAAACATTACACAAAACGCATCAGTAGTTGCCTTGGTAACGCAATGTAAACGGCTCCCTTTGTTCAATTAAAGTTAAATAAGAGCCGAAACTATTTATTTATTTATTTTTCATAAAAGCAAAAGCATGTGACTAAACACTTTTATGCCGCTCTATCAAATAGGGGTGCTAAATGTGCACCCTTATTTATTTATATGTTGCGCAGCTCTGGCTAAATTTTATTTGGAGGGAAAATTACCAAAATGTAACGTGATGATTAAAAATAATTGGAGGGGAAATAAATAATATTTAAAATCTCTGAACATAACAGAAAAAAAAACAATGATAAGACTACAATAATAGTGCATTTGCATTATAGTGGCAAAAATATCATTTTGGACAGGCCTTGTCAAAGGTGAGCGGGCACTTTCACTAATAAAAACACAGCACATAAATTATTTCATTTTTAACAATTAATTAAATTACACTGCGTATTTATATCAAAAGTTGATAATGATATAAAATATACTACATTTTGATAGTAAAATGAAACCATTTAAGCGATGGCTATTATTTGTTTTACTATTCAAACATTAAATAACGAATGCAGCAAGTGAAAAAAACGAATATGAAACAACACATATATTGCAGGATTTAAAACATATAAAGCACTAAAATGCTGCTTTATTATCTTTTTTATTTTGATCATTTTATTTTTATTTTTATAATTATTTTTGTGTTCATTATTAACTAACAAGCTGTAGGCGAAATATTGCTAGACGTTTTAGAAAATATTTGCGTAGCTATATTAAAGATCACCACAAAAAAAAAAAAAAAAACACAGAAACATGTTACATGCCTCATAAATGTCATATAACTTATGTATAACTGAATCATATAATTGCCTATAGCTGAAATGATGAAAATTGCTCATTTTGTTTTTATAAAACATTTGTCAAAACGTATTGATATTTTTTGAGTAAAAGCAATACTGACATTTAAGAATCCATATTTATTTAGTTCATTCATTCTTTTGACTTGTTTATTAGTGCATATGCTATAATATAAATCATACAACAGTACCTTGGACAGTTGTGCCGCTCCGTAAAGCTTTCAAGCAATGTCTTTTGAACGGCCGACATTACAACACGAACACGCCGTCCTTCAGGTGGTCTCGCCGGTATTAACAAGCTGTCCTGGCTTTGAATTAAAAAGTGCAATTATTTCCTCGTTGTTAAAAGAGTCTGCAAGTTCGTGTTCCATGGATATAGTGATGTTGTTGTGGAATTTGGACATCGACGATGCAAAGCGTGACTTTATTCGCTTTATTCGATGCGCAGCAGGAAAAAAAAGTCAGCAGCGCAAGTCGTTGTCATGTCTCTCCCGGATCAGAGCGAGTTTTGTGCTGTGAAATACAGCGCTGCGTGCAATAAACTCACATTCAGCAGGCGAAGTAGGTCTGTATTCAAGTCAATAAAATAATAACTTTAATGAATAAAATATCTTCGTTAGAATGTGATGCGTTATTCACTTCTCTGCCAGAGACTGCTCTATGGTTTTAAAACCCTTTTCAAACTGTATCGTTTAGACCTGGATCATTATTTTATATTAAATGCACTGTAGTTTATTGAGGATGTCTGATGACTAGCGCGCTTCTGCTGAGCCAGCTGTGGTAGCTTAGCAACCGAGTCGCGACGTCAACACACAGAATCTGTCAGCACAGTTCAGCACGGTTGTCTAACCGTGCCGAGAATTCCGGGCCGAGAACGGTTTAGCCGCTTTTCCACTATCGTGCTGAATCGTTCTTTAAACAGAACTGTTCCATTCCGTGCCAAACCGGGCCAGACAGCACGGATACGGTTTCATTTTCCACTGTCGTGCTGCGACAAAGCTCTTTAAAACATTACACAAAACGCATCAGTAGTTCCCTTGGTAACGCAATGTAAACGGCTCCCTTTGTTCAATTAAAGTTAAATAAGAGCCGAAACTATTTATTTATTTATTTTTCATAAAAGCAAAAGCATGTGACTAAACACTGTTATGCCGCTCTATCAAATAGGGGTGCTAAATGTGCACCCTTATTTATTTATATGTTGCGCAGCTCTGGCTAAATTTTATTTGGAGGGAAAATTACCAAAATGTAACGTGATGATTAAAAATAATTGGAGGGGAAATAAATAATATTTAAAATCTCTGAACATAACAGAAAAAAAACAATGATAAGACAACAATAATAGTGCATTTGCATTATAGTGGCAAAAATATCATTTTGGACAGGCTTTGTCAAAGGTGAGCGGGCACTTTCACTAATAAAAACACAGCACATAAATTATTTCATTTTTAACAATTAATTAAATTACACTGCGTATTTATATCAAAAGTTGATAATGATATAAAATATACTACATTTTGATAGTAAAATGAAACCATTTAAGCGATGGCTGTTATTTGTTTTACTATTCAAACATTAAATAACGAATGCAGCAAGTGAAAAAAACGAATATGAAACAACACATATATATTGCAGGATTTAAAGCATATAAAGCACTAAAATGCTGCTTTATTATCTTTTTATTTTGATCATTTTATTTTTATTTTTATAATTATTTTTGTGTTCATTATTAACAAGCTGTAGGCGAAATATTGCTAGACGTTTTAGAAAATATTTGCGTAGCTATATTAAAGATCACCACAAAAAAAAAAAAACACAGAAACATCTTACATGCCTCATAAATGTCATATAACTTATGTATAACTGAATCATATAATTGCCTATAGCTGAAATGATGAAAATTGCTCATTTTGTTTTTATAAAACATTTGTCAAAACGTATTGATATTTTTTGAGTAAACAATACTGGCATTTAAGTATCCATATTTATTTAATTCATTCATTCTTTTGACTTGTTTATTAGTGCATATGCTATAATATAAATCATACAACAGTAGCTACCTTGGACAGTTACAGTGCCGCTCCGTAAAGCTTTCAAGCAAAGTCTTTTGAACGGCCGACATTACAACACGAACACGCCGTCCTTCAGGTGGTCTCGCCGGTATTAACAAGCTGTCCTGGCTTTTATTTCAATTATTTCCTCGTTGTTAAAAGAGTCTGCAAGTTCGTGTTCCATGGATATAGTGATGTTGTTGTGGAATTTGGACATCGACGATGCAAAGCGTGATTTTATTCGCTTTATTCGATGCGCAGCAGGAAAAAAAAGTCAGCAGCGCAAGTCGTTGGCATGTCTCTCCCGGATCAGAGCGAGTTTTGTGCTGTGAAATACAGCGCTGCGTGCAATATTCAGCAGGCGAAGTAGGTCTGTATTCAAGTCAATAAAATAATAACTTTAATGAATAAAATATCTTCGTTAGAATGTGATGAGTTATTCACTTCTCTGCCAGAGACTGCTCTATGGTTTTAAAACCCTTTTGAAACTGTATCGTTTAGACCTGGATCGTTATTTTATATTAAATGCACTGTAGTTTATTGAGGATGTCTGATGACTAGCGCGCTTCTGCTGAGCCAGCTGTGGTAGCTTAGCAACCGAGTCGCGACGTCAACACACAGAATCTGTCAGCACAGTTCAGCACGGTTGTCTAACCGTGCCGAGAATTCCGGGCCGAGAACGGTTTGTAATCGTGCCGCGCCGTTCCAGGCTCAAGTGGAGAAACAACCGTAACCGTACCGAAGTGTTCTTAGAACGGTTTGGCACGATAGTGGAAAAGCAGCTTTTGTAATCGTGCCGCGCCGTTCCAGGCTCAGTGGAGAAACAACCGTAACCGTACCGAAGTGTTCTTAGAACGGTTTGGCACGATAGTGGAAAAGCAGCTTTTGTTAACTAATGTATTGAAGGCATTTAAATTCAATGTATGCCAATAAGACATCTTCTAAATGAAGCAGTAAACCACAAAAGGTTGTGCATTGCAATGATTATACCACTTAAACTGTGGTTTATAAATGAGAATAGTTCCGTTGTCCTGACATTTTATCCAAACCATCAGATCATCCTACCATCACTCTATTTGAATGGTTAGAGATTGGGGTTAGATATTAGGTAGGTTAAAGCGATATTACAGCTTCATATCACACTGCACATTAAAATTTACACTGGTAGCAAAATCTGATGGGTAGCATATTGCGTCATAAAAATGTGCTACAGTGCATACGGAGAGTATTTAGGGCTTTACTTTTTCCACATATTTTGTTACAGCCTTGTTCCAAAATAGATTAAATTCATTAATTCCCTCCAAATTCTACACACAATAACCCATAATGACAATGTGAAAAACGATTTTGTTGCAAATTTATTAAAAATAAAAAACCTGAAAAATCACATATAAGTATTCACAGCCTTTGCTATGAATTAAGCTCTAAATTGAGCTCAGGTACATTCTGTTTCCACTGATCTTGAGATACTTCATTGGAGTTTACCTATGGTAAATACAGTTGATTGGACATGATTTGAAAAGACATGCACCTTCCTGTTTAAGGTCCCAGGGTTGATAGTACATGTCAAAGCACAAACCAAGCATAAAGACAAAGGAATTGCTTGTAGACCTCCGAGACAGGATTGTTTTGAGGCACAAGGCTGGGGAAGCTTACAGAAAAATTTCTGCTGGTCTGAGGGTTCCAATGAGCACAGTGGCCTCCATCATCCATAAGTGGGCGATGTTTGGAACCACCAGGACTCTTTCTAGAGCTGGCCGGCCATCTAAGCTGAGTGATTGGGGAAGAAGGACCTTAGTCTGGGAGGTGATCAATAACCCGATGGTCACTCTGTCTGAGCTCCAGCATTCTTCTGTGGAGCGAGGAGAACCTTACAGAAGGACAACATCTGTGCAACAATCCACCAATCAGGCCTATATGGTGGAGTGCAAGACGGAAGCCTCTCTCGACCTGAAATTTGCCAAAAGGCATCTGAAGGACTCTCAGACCATAAGAAACTAAATTCTCTGGTCTGATGAGACTAAAATTGAACTCTTTTGAGTGAATGCCAGGCGTTACATTTGGAGAAAACCAGGCACCACTCATTACAAGGCTAATACCATCCCTACAGTGAAGCATGGTGGTGGCAGCATCGTGCTGTGGGGATGTTTTTCAGCAGCAGGAACTGGAAGACTAGTGAGGACAGAGGGAAAGATGAATGCAGTAATGTACCAAGACATCCTGAATGAAAACCTGCTTCAGAGTGCTCTTGACCTCAGACTGGGGCGACGATTTATCTTCCAGCAGGACAATGACCCAAAGCACACCGTCAAAATATCAATGGAGTGGCTTCACAATAACTCAGGGAATGTTCTTGAGTGGCCCAGCCAGAGCCCAGACCTGAATCCTATTGAACATCTCTGGAGAGATCTGAAAATGGCTGTACACCGTCGCTTCTCATCCAACCTGATAGAGCTTGAGAGGAATGGGCAAAAAGACATTGGGCAAAATTCCCAGAGACAGGCGTGCCAAGCTTGTGGCATCTTATTCAAAAAGGCTGTAATTGCTGCCAAAAGTGCATCAACAAGGTATTAAGCAAGGGCTGTGAATACTTATGTACGTGATTTTTCAGGTTTTTTATTTTTAATAAATTTGCAACAATTAAAAAAAAATGTTTTTCACATTGTCATTTCGGGATGTTGTGTGCAGAATTTTGAGGAAATAAATGAATTTAATTAATTTTGGAATAAGGCTGTAACATAAAAAAATGTGGGAAAAGTGAAGCGATATGAACACTTTCCCGATGCACTGTACTTTTTGAATGGGAGGGACAACATGACAAGGTAGGATAAATCAACAGAACACCAGTCCTTAATTCTGATTGGTTGAGCCATGTTTAAAGCTGTTGTAACATTCTCTGCAAATAAACACCGGTAACTGCTGCTTGGCTACAAACTGTTTCATTTGCATTTAGTGAAACCCTGCTATGCATATGGAACAACCTTTTATAAAAGCAATGAAAATCCATGAACTCTTCTTAGCCTTTATAAATTCACAAACCACAGCTTCTTGGGGATTATTGCTATAAATTGAGTCATTTAATATTTGCACAAATTAATTTAAATAGTTCAATATGGAATATAGTATCAAAGAGCATAGAATCACCAAGAGGCGACACTCTAGTGCGATTTGGGAAACAGCCACTACATGGCGCGGTGGCCATTTTGAAGTTAAAATTCCAATAGAACAACAGCATATTTTAAGTCTGTAAAATAAAGTATTAAAAGTTGTTGTTGTATTGGTGTCTTTCAGGTTTTATCTCAGCTTTAATGCGCTTTTTAAATAAATAAATAAATAACAAAGCAGCTGCTTGCCATCGCAACAGCAATAAGATCCAATGACCAGCCAACCGCTTTCACTCCGAAATGGCAGAATCCGGGGCTGCTTGGCGCTGCTGTTGCAATGAAACATTCTATTGAGTGTCGCCTCTTGGTCATTCTAAGCTTTTTGATAGTATTCAACAGTTGTGTTTCACCAATTTTTATCTTCAAATGTTTTACTATTAGCTTTGAGGACATTTACACCCCTAAACATCGTCAAAATGCAGTCTTCTTCCAGAAATATAAACAAATGCTCACATTTTGTCAAATCAAATGATCTATAAATGACAATCTCCCTCCTTTCTAGTACATACCTCAAACTCGATTCCTGGAGGGCCGCAGCTCTGAACATTTCTCCTCCAACCCTGATTAAACACAGCTGATCCAACTAATAAAGGTGTTCGCGACTCTTTTGAACACCTTGATTATTTGCATCAGCTGTGTTTGTTCAGGGTTGGAGCAAAACTGTGCAGAGCTGCGGCCTTCCAGGAATCGAGTTTGAGGCCTATGCTCTAGTAAAATCTCATGGCAATTTGTAACTTTTTGATTTAGTGGCTAATTCGTATTAATCTGTACATCATCTCTCTCATCTCCATTTAAAACCCATAGATTTCCATACAAATCAAATCGTATGAATTTGAGCAAATTAGCCACTTTTCTGACAATACGTAAAATAGTTACGTTTCCTCATGAGATCAAGCTGAGTAAAGTTAATGTTATTTTATTTTAAAACAAGCACAAGCCCTTGGTCGTAAACATGAGTTCGAATTTTCATTTGTACATTGTTCATATGTTGTATGACTTATATTAAGCGGTTTTGTTTGTCTCAAGGCTTGTGTGACAGATGCTCATTAGCCATCAAACATACTCTATATTACTCACCAGTCTTTTCGGAAATCTCACTTGCTGTTAAATTCTGGCTGTTCGGGAGCACCCGGAAAGTGACAGCTGGACCAACCACACTGTGTAAAGCAGAACTTTTAATGACATGTAAGTTTGCCACATGATGGTGTGCAGGGTTTAAAATTAACTTGTCACTCACCAGCCAATTTTGCATCCACATTTGTAAGTTACGGGCTATTCAGAATCTCTAGCTAAAGTAAAAATATCAAAAATATATTGGTTATCAAAATTAAGGCTTCGATTTTAAATGCATTCCTTATTGTATGACCCTGAACAAAAAATAAGTAAAAAAAAATGTTAGGCCTAAAATCATTAGAATATTAAGTAAGGAAAAGATATCCTCGTGATGATATTTAGCAAATTTTTGTATTATGCATTGCTAAGACGGGAATTTGGACAGCTTTAATGGAGCAGTATGTAAGTTTGACACCCAGTGGTTGAACTAGGTATTGCAATTCTGGTTCAAAACACATGCAAGCGCAGGTTGCCAGATTGACAAGCTCAACAGGAGTGTAGCTGAATATCTTGCCTAGAGGCTGATTTAAGGCTGATTTAGGTTGTGTTCTAAATAAAAGCAATGACAGAACACGATAGAAGAAAAAAAAATTATATTAAAAGGAGTTTTTGTCCTAACCAACACCTGAAATTTCTGTTTTAGAAATGGCTTCTATTTCTTGCAGTAGAACAACAAAAAATTATAACAATCACCTCAGGTACACCTCATGTGCTTTATTCAGTGTTAAATGCTAACAATGGGAGTTCATTTTACATGTCATTTATTGTCATACTACTGAAAGCAGCAGCAGATAGTTTACCTCAGATCTCAAAAATAAAACAAACAGTTTGAAATTAGAACTGTGACAATTTACACTGTAACAAATATCAGTAAGACAGCATGTACATTTAATAATGTTAAAGAGGTTTTATATGTACTAATTAGATTAAAAACCTTACGTTTTGTTTGAGTGCAGTGAGTGCACAATTCTGTGCTTCTGAATAGCTCTATTTAAATTTCTGTCATGCTGTAAAATCTAGTCACTGCAAATCTATTCATGTAGCGTGTTGTTTGGACACATGGTTACAATGTAACCTGTTTATTTAATGTTTTAATTTGTAATATTTATGTTGTTTTCTAATTAATCAGACCCCCTAGTTTTTCAAATTTTCTTTGTGATTTTTTTTTTGCAATCAAAACGACTGCTTTTGTGGCAGTAATTTCCTGAAATTTGCTGACAATTTTGCGATTATTAATTGTAATTAATAATCTTATTTACTATACTTGGTAGCCTACTATGTTAGGTGGCCAATCTGAAACAATGACAATGACACAAATTATAAAAATAAAGCTTCTTTATTTTAGTCTCTTGTCAAAACAAGATATAAAATAGATCTAAAATGTTAGGGATTGAGCCAAAGGAAGTTTGTATAACTTTTACTTTTATCTACAATCTTACTTCTAGATTTCACTCCCCGACTTTTTGTTGATTTTGCATTGGGTTCAGCGATTGCGGAATCATGAAAAAACTAGGGGGTCTGATATATAACTATCTCATGTGGAACTCTGAATCTCCGTCTCATTTCGGAAGCTAGTAATGTCCACCAGAGGTCGCATTTTCGGTCATGGACAAATACGTCTTCCACGACCGAAGCCTTCTTGACTGAATTAATCAAATGTGTGGTTTTCCACCAAGTAATGAAAAAACCTGAAATGTAATTCGCTAAACTGGGCTTGTTAAATGGAACAAAACAAAGAAGTTCCGCTACATAACCCACATTTTCAAAGAAAAATATCTGACTTTAGTATTGCTTTTCAGATAAACAAGAATGTTCACTTTTTAATATCTGCAAACATATTGTCGTAATTCAGCCTGATCTCACGAGAAAACGTATGTATTTTACGTTTTGCCAGTTTAGTGGCTAATTCGTACGTTTTAGTACGAGTTCAGTCGTACGGAAATGTACAATTTTAAAAAGGAGACGTGGCACCCAACCCCACCCCTAAACCCAACCTGGCTGATGAGCAAATCATACTAAATTGTACGAATTAGATTGTACCAATTCATATGAATTAGCCATTAAATCAAAAAGTTACGAATTGCCGTGAGATTGCGTTGGGTATTTTATACTTTAGAAGAGTCAAAACTTACATACAGCACCTTTAAAGATGATTTCTTCAGTATTTAGATATTTTTGAACCCTCAGATTACAGATTTTCAATTAGTTGTAGCTCTGTGATAAAAAAAGAAAAAATATTTTTAAAAAAACATACTTTTTTGGTTTTGTTTGCTAATTTATTCAGCTTACAGATGATGTAAACATCTCTGATGACTGGTTTCATAATTCAAAGTGACAAATAGAACAAAAAGATTCTCTGGGACTTTTCAGAAATTAACATTTTAAATGCTCTGTTCACTGTTTTGCTGATGTTGATTGAATGATTTGAATGTTGGAGGTTCCTCTTATCTGAAGGGCTCTGACAGTGATGGCATTCAAAAAAAAGATAGGACATAATTTACGAATCATAACCTGCCAAATTGGCTAGTGAGTTTATGTGTTACCCACCATGGTTGATTTTTCGCCCACATTTGGCAGTTTGGCAGGTGTTAATTTCAAACCCTGATTATATGTTTGGAAACTGGGATTCAAGAAATAAGAGCAGGACAAGTAGTGGAGAAAATCCACTTTGGAGATCAGTTCATTCCATTCACTTTTCTCTCTCTCATTCCTTCCCTCTTAGCCATCCCCCTCTGTCCTCCAAGGACAATAGATCAAGGTTCCAGCTCACCACAGTTTGATTTACCAAAAGGAGTTAGTGGGATTAGGATTTGCTTCCTAACCACAGCAACAAACACCAATCAAGACTGTTTGGACTGTTTAAATAGAATTGTTAACAGCTAAGTTTGTATTTTTAGTCCAGTTTCTTCAAATGCTGTGTTACTATATCCCTTTGCAAGATTCGTTAGTTAACCCTTTAACACATCATTCATATCATGAAGCCCTTTAGCCCTGATGATTTATGGATATATGTTTTTTTCTTCTTTTTTTTCCATTTTCTACATATATTGACAAACTTCCTAATTATATTGTACAATATATAATATTTCAATTCTCAAATATGCGTAAGCACATGTACTTCGTCATTTAAACAGCTTAATACCAATCATATTATTTGATCTATGATGGGTGCCGCCATGTTAGTGGAGGGATCAGAGCTGCTGGATTTACAACATGTTAATTCATCAACTTCTCCTCAACTACATGAAGGTAAGTGGCTTGTTAACAGGAGAAGAATTGAGTAAATATTCTAATTACCTAAATAGTGTTTGTCTGACGTAAATAAAGCAAATCACAAGACTAGAAAAGTACAGTTCGTAGACAAACTTTATGGTGGATTGAGAAAGCCTCGTCTAAAAGTTTGAAGTAGTTTAAAAGTTTAAATAACTGAAGTAGTTTTTAAGAAGTTTGAAACAGTTATAACTAGGTATGTTATCATACTTTTAGTTTGCAATGGCATGTTTCTTGCTAGGCTGTTGATAGGAGGTTCTGAGTGGTTGCTAAGGTGTTGCTAAGTGGCTGCCAGAGTTTTCTGAATAATTGCTAGGGTGTTCTGAGTGGTTGCGAGCCAGTTGCTAAGGCGTTGCTAGGTGGATGCTAGGTGGTTGCTAAGATATTCTGAGGAGATGCTAGGCAGTTGCTAACATAAATTAGCATGGTTCTAGTTTAAATTAGCATGTTGCTAGCATGTTTCTAGCATAAATTAGCATATTATCAGCATGGTTCTAGTATGAAAGAGCATGTTGCTATCATGTTTCTGGTATAAACTAGCATGTTGTTAGCATGAATTCTGTATAAATTAGCATGTTGCTAGTATGTTTATAGTATGAATTAGCTTGTTGCTAATAAGATTAGAATGTTTCTAGTATGCATTGTCAGTATGAATTGGTATGTTGTTAGTATGTCCAATGTAAAGTCAATTGCAGTTTTTTTTTTATTATGGAAGTCTATGGGACAGTTGCTAGGGTGCTGTAAGTGGTTGCCAGAGTATGACTAGTAAGTTGAAAGGTCATCAGTGATTGGCAGTTTGGTAATCTGAGTTAAATGACCCCAACCGGAAGTCTGTATGAGAGTCTGGAGCAAAGTTATGAGGTCACAAATTTTGGTCTAATGTTAAGTCAGTGGCACTTTTTCGAATTTTCCTGGGTCAGTTTTCGGAAAAGTCGGATCAGTTGGAAAATATATAGCAACTTAATTTTATATAGTTTGGAGGTTTGGAATTAGTTTGGTGGTTGCAGTATGAACGGTCCAGGAGGAGATGTGTTCTTAAAATAGTCTAAAGGCTGATTTATACTTCTGCGTCAAACGCCAGCGTATGCTACGGCGCTGATGCATAGCCCTTCGCCGTGTTCATCGTGGTCACCTCTCAAAAAATGTAACTACACGTCGCAACAACGCGTAGCGCAAGCTCTGTGATTGGTCGGCTTGGTAGCGCTGACGAGTCTGGGCGGGACCAAGAGCCGCGCGAATGGCGCGAGCGATTGTTTACAAGTGTAGAGTCCCTTGAAGGAGCTCCGGATGGAAAGTTTTGTTCTGTGTTTACCTCATGGTTAAAGTTGTTGCACGTCCGCCGGTTCCTGCCTTAAAATGAGCGAGTTTGAGTCACTTGTACATCCAGGAAGTGTTCAGGAAAAGCAAAACAGAAGCGAAGAAACTCGACACAGAGGAACATTTACACCTCACTGCCAACTAGCGTTTCGGAAATGTTAATGCAGACCAACAGAGACAGTGCACAGAAGTATAAATGCACAGCTGCGCACGTTGCCTGCGCCGTGAGTTACGCCGGTCACTTGACGCAGAAGTATAAACCAGGTCTAAGAAGAAGGCGGAAGAATAATAATACAGCTGTGTCTCATTTCAGAGGCTGCATCCCCTGAAGGATGCATTCGAAGTGCGCTGCGTCATCTCGATGCAACGAAGGCTGTCTCATTTAAAAATAAATTTGAATGCTCCTTCAAAAGCAGCTTCAAAATGCGTCCTTCGTTTCCCAGGTGATGAAGGGCACAACCGATGGATCCTTCACAGCCTCAAATATCCCAAGATTCATTGCGCGCTGATAATGGCAGGACGTTTTAAAAAAAAAAAAAACTCTTTTAAATGTATGAATTAAGTTTATTTTACGTGTATATCTAAACACATGTTAATAAAAACAAAAAAAAGAGTATGAAATGTCTTACCAAAGAGTGATTTTATAGACTGTTTACATGTTGATGTGTACATGTATGGACCAAAGCAAATATATTTCCAGCTTCTGTATACCACGTTTTGCCTTCAGATCGCCTAAAATAAGTTTTAAAATCACTAAGGAAAAAAGTAATAACAATCTTTATCAGCACTTATTAACAACAGCTGGTACGGTTGCCATGTGACGAGATCCGTCCGCTCGGTTCAGCCAGTGTGGACTTCAAAGGACTAACCTTTGAAGTGTGCATCCTTCAGAATGCAGCCTCTGAAATGAGACACTGTTTACATTTATGTACTATAAAGCTGCCTTTCTACTGCACACGACATTTGGACACAACTGTTGGTATATGCCCTCTTGTGGCAGTCGCACAAAACTTTCAGTTTTGTTGTGCAGCATTAGAGAGAAGCTGTTCTTGTAGTGTCCAAAATAAAGGAGTACAAAAGCAAGAGCCATTACTCTCCGTGCGTTCATCATGGTTGAATGAATGAATGAATACTAGAAAGTTATAGACCTCTAAATATTTTGGAGGCAATGTAGAGACAACATTAAAAAATATTTTTTTATTACTTATTTATGAATAGAAATGTGTTTTTTAATATAGACCTTTTCTGATTCAAAAAATAACCTACTATTTCTTATCTCGTGCACACGAACCTGCTTGGACAACACTGAATCCGGTCATCCGGTCGCATACAGCCTAGACACAGGACTTCAAATATTTCAACGTATCTGCAGCTCAAATTGGATCAAATTTTACGCATATGGAGATGATTGGTACTCCACGCAGCTCCCGGACTACTGTCATTGGAATGAATAACTGTCATTATTCACTGCATGTGCAGTGAATAAAAGGCTTAACAGTATGTCGGCTTTCTCAAGCCACCATAATTCTGTGAAAATGATTATAGCCGTTTCCATAGACAACAGTGTGTATTGTTACAAACTGTTATGATTTGCTAGTGTGGAGGGCAACAAGATATCGGAAAAATCGAAAATTGCGATATTTTTTGTTATTCTGCCATATATATTGCAATATGAATACACTTTTACCAGATGACTTGAACATCTCTATTTTGAAAGAAATAATACATTTAGACTCATTAAGATGATTCTGTAGAAAAGTGCTTCTGCAAGCATATAAATATAATAAAAATATACAATTGAAATAAACAATAAATAATAAAGTTTTATCGTTTTCCGAGTCTAACATTACTCTGGTACAGCAATTTCATTAATAAAAATAAAAATAATTCAATAAAATTAATCGTTATTAAAGTTACAAATGGTACAATTTCTTATGTCTGAAAGCTTTAAAATTATTATACAGTCACAGGCCTCAAAAACACGAATAAAAAAGAAAAGAAAACACATTGAAAAAAGTTTAATAAAGACTCAATATTTCTTATCCTGGGACATGACTATTGCGAATGATAACATTGTGATATCGATGATGAAACTATATATTGTGCCGCCCTACTAATGTAATTTAAATATCTGAAACCTAAATCATAATTTGTTTGAAAACACCAAGAATTTGTGATTTATGATCAATGTGAGAAGTCAATTTGAATTTAGCAGCTGATGATGTGTCACACTCAACATTTGATCACTCTTCAGGGGCCAGCCAAGACTGATCACACCGATGTGATTGTATGCCTCAAAGGGTTAAATAGGTTCTTTTGAGATCACAAAAACTAATTCTGTAAACCTCATCAGCTGTTGCCGCCTCTCTGTGCTAAACCTAAGCCTACCTGATATTGATGAAAGAGTCAGTAGTGAGATGGATCCTCTCAGCAAGGGTCTTGAGGAGATGAACCCCATCAGACAGATTGAGAGGGCTGTAGAGAGACATACACATTCATACGCCCACATACACAACTTCACAAGCACAAACTAACACAGACAGCACAGAAACAACACACAAACAGACTCCCCACTGAATAGCCGGTGTGATGTGTACCCCCAGGTCCTTCGTTAGTGTAGTGTTTTGAAAGCAAGTACCACATGACTACCATACTTTCAGACAAAAGAAACGCTCAAGTAGATTTAAGGCCTGTTCACACCAAGAAAAATAACTATGAAGATAACGATAAAAATGTTGTTCTAAAAAACGATCTAAATGTAACAGCAGCAGATTTCTGACCACAGCAATAATCTTAAATATGTAGAGAAACGATACTGTCGGGATCACTTTCCGAATACATTTTTACAGCTAATAAATGATAAAACAAAACCAATTTAAATACATAAGACTTTATTGTAATTTAAAGTTATAGGTGACATTGTGGAGAAACTCACTGCTTGATGTTCAGCCCTTTTTTCAAAGATTATTTAAAGATAATGACTACATTGAAAACAATTGGTTACACCATAGAAACGACAAATAAAATTGACAAGGAAACTAAGCAAGCCAGGCTCCTTTGAAAATACTGAGGAAAAATTATTTGTGACGTTTTTATTTATATACACTGGCTGCGATTGCTCAATTCCTTGTTTTATTAGATTGGTTTCACAAGCTGGACTCACTGGTCAAATATAAACATAACAACATATCTCAGAGGGGTAATGAAAAAATAAAAATTGCATAAACTCAAAATAAACAGATTATTTAAAGATAATTACTATATTAAAACAATTGGTTATGCCATGAAAAAGAGTGCTAACATTTACAAGGGAACTATGCAAGTCAGGCTAGCTCCTTTGAAAATGCTGGGGAAAAATTATTTGTGTTGTTTTTAATTAACTACACTGGCTCCGATTGCTAAATTCCTTATTTCATTACATGTTACACGAGCTGGATTCACTGGTCAGATAGAAACATAACAACATATCTGCTGGTAACAAAGTGGTAATTAAAAATAAAAATGCATAAACTCAAAATAAACAGAATATTTAAAGATAATGACTATATTAAAAATTATTGGTTATACCAAAAACGACTAATAAAATTGACAAGGAAACTATGCAAGCCAGGCTATATTCTTTGAAAATGCTGAGGAAAAATTATTTGTGTTTTTATTTATTTACAATGGCTGCGATTGCTAAATTCCTTGTTTTATTACATTGGTTACATGAGCTGGATTCACTGGTTAGATAGAAACATAACAACATATCTGCTGGTTACAAAGGGGTAATGTGAAAAAATAATAATCTCAATCTCAAAATAAAAAGATCACCATCGCTATCATGTGGAAACAAATACAGTTCTCTAAAGTTATCATGCTTGGTGTGAATAGCCCTTTATACTCGGCCCAACAGACAAAACCATTAGTTGTACCTCTGATTGGTGACAATGTATCCAAACTCCTCCTTTATCTTAGTTTTATTCTTTCCTGGTTGCACACTCAGGGCTCCCTTTCCAAGCGGCCCTTCCTCTTGCTTGAGAGTTAAAGGCCCTAGTACACTTGCGCCCGTTGGGATGGAGTTATCCTTTGAGGCCCCTGGGGAGCCGGGGCTCTTGGGGGAGGTTTGAGGTCCAGGTTTGAGCGGAGGAGAGGAGGAATTTGAAGCGGGTGAAGAAGCCTTCTCCACCACATGGGTCATCTCTCCTTCGGTAATCTTCATCTGATATAGCACACAAGACATACTATCTCAGGTAAAGTCCAGAATTTTACTTGGCTTTTCAAATGTGAACAGATTTTAAAACACTGACATTAACACTAAACAACTGAAGAAAAAACAATAACCAGTGTGTTTGGTTGGGTTAGCAATAAACAAAAATGCTTTATAACATGCATCAATATGATTTAATATGTATGATGCATAATAACTAGACACCAGAGCTGTATATGCTGTGCTAACTTTATATTCAGGGTTGTTGGCAGTAATACTGCAAATAGCACTATTGAACTATCCAGATATACCGGAGAGGAGAAATTTCCTCACCGTGGCAGCCCTACCAATCCATTTATCTGACATAATCAGAGCAAAAGCAGATGATTAGATTTTGATTAATTACTAACACAAACATTTTTTTTGTATTAAAGTATTATATTAAAGTATTAGTATCATAGCAAAAAAGTATAGTATCGGTATCGGTAAGTATCATTTGCTACCAATATCAAAGTATCTATATCATAGCAAAAAAGTATCATTCCTGTAACGATAAGTATCGTTTGCTACCGTTATCAAACTATCTGTACAATAGCAAAAAGAGTATTGTTCTGGTATCGGTAAGTATCATTTGCTAACGATATCAAAGTATCTGTATCATAGCAAAAAAGTATAGTTTCGGTATCGGTAAGTATCATTTGCTAGCAATATCAAAGTATCTGTATCATAGCAAAAAAAGTATTGTTCTGGTATTGGTAAGTATTGTTTCCAACTGATATCAGAGTATCTGTATCATAGCAAAAAAAGTATTGTTCCGGTATTGGTAAGTATTGTTTGCTACCAATCTTAAAGTATCTGTATCATAGCAAAAAAGTATTGTTCTGGTATCGGTAAGTATCGTTTGCTACCGATATCAAAGTATAGGTATCATAGCAAAAAAGCATGATTCCGGTATCGGTGAGTATCGTTTGCTACCGATATCAAAGTATCAGTATCAGAGCTAAAAAGTTGTTTTCCAGTATTGGTAAGTATCATTTGCTGCGGTATCAAAGGATCAGTATTCATTCATTCATTCGGCTTAGTCCCTTTATTAATCCATGGTCGCCACAGCGGAATGAAACGCCAACTTATCTAGTTCGTTTTTTACGCAGCGGATGCCCTTCCAGCCGCAACCCATCTCTGGGAAACATCCACACACACTCATTCAGACACACAATCATACACTATGGACAATTTAGTCTACCCAATTCACCTGAACCACATGTCTTTAGACTTTGGAAGAAACCGGACCACTCGGAGGAAACCCACGTGAATGCAAGGAGGACAAGCAAACTCCACACAGAAACCCCAATTGAGCCGAGGCTCAAATCAGTGACCCAGCAACCTTCTTGCTGTGAGGCAACAGCACAACCTACTGCGCCACTGCATCGCCAAAGAATCAGCATCATAGCAAAAAAGTATAGTTTGGATATCGATAAGTATCGATTGCTACTGATATCAAAGTACCTGTATTATAGCAAAAAAGTAGCATTCCGGTATTTGTATCAAATATTAATGAGAGTTTGACTGTTTAAAAAACTCATATTGAAAAAAAAAATTGTATAATGTAATTTTGTTTACTTGTTTTCTGAAGTTGCTATAAAAAGTATCATTCTAGTGACACTATTGTATAAGTTAAAGTATCAGTATTGAAATTTGATAAAAGTTTGATTTTCAAGCAACAACTCGCAATGAAAAAGAGATACATTATAAAATTGACAATGTTATATAACCTGTATAAAAAGTTTAGTTTAGCTGCTTATATCAAAGCATCATATAATCTCACACTAAAAAAAAGAAACGTGTAATGTAGGTTTCTTAACTTATTTATTAAGTCACATCACATCAGTATTGAAATCAATGTATTGCTATTCAATTCAATTCATGTTTATTTCTATAGCACTTTTACAATGTAGATTGTTTCAAAGCATGTTGTAACATAGAGGTTCTTGTAAATTAAAGTGTCAGTCCAGTTTTCAGAGTTGAAGTTTAGTTCAGTTCAGTGGGGTTTAAATTTCACTGCTGAAAGTGCAAACACTGAAGAGCAAATCCAACAATGCGCAGCTCCACAAGTTTCAAACCAAGCAACTTTAAATTAAGGTGAACATTGCTCATTTTTATATGTTTGTTTAATTCCGCCCATATAAACTGTTTGCAACAATTTTGCATAAATCATTGTTTTCAGTGTATGTAGTACACTAAAGTATGTGACTCATGTCTGCAGATTATCTCTGACTTCTGGCAACTGCGACTCTCCCAGAATGTTTATCCTACTATTTTTTTCTTCGCTCGTATTCTCTTTAAAATGCTGTCAGATGGGCCATCAAGAAAAGTCTGTTAATTTTATAACCAGCCGTGGTTATTTATGCAAAGGGGACTAAAGAAGGAGGTAAGAATCATGTTGCTGAAGTGCTAAAGAACCTAAAATATTGTGCACAGACAAACATCAACGTTGGATTAAATAGAAATTACCTACATGACAAATCACACATGGTCATGGCTCACAGTTCCCCCACTTGTTTTCATAGAATTATAGATCAAAGGGATTGTTCACTCAAAAATGTAATTTACTCACTATATTTTTACTCACCATGAGTTTCTGATGTTGAACAAAAAAGAAGATAATTTGAATAATGTTACAAAACGGTTATCACTGACACCCATAGCAGAAAAAAAAACTACTATGGAAGTCAATGGTTACATGATTTGTCAACATGAATTCGTTTGTGTTCAACAGAAGAAAGAAACTCAAGTTTGAGTTTCAAGAGAAGGTTGTGTTAAAGACAGAGTTTTCCGTTTTGGTGAACGATCTCTTTAATACTTGCTGCCCCCTGCTGTTAATAAAAAGTACTACTACTGAGCTCAACCCAACCTTGAAACATAACTGAAATACTAAACGACAGCAGTTCTACATTTTCTTTCTGCTTACCACTTTTGGAGGCGCAGAGGAATCCTTGGCTTCAGCTGAATGAAGAAAAACAAGCAATTCCAAATTAGCATATTTTCAGAGCGCCAACAATAACAATTTATATCTAAATAATAATAAATGTTATGGAAATGTCAGAGTGCTCACATTTTCTCTGATTATTTGGTGGCTCATTTTGCAGGAACTGAAGGACAGAGAAGAGACGCTCCATCTCCTCAGGGTTCAGGTGATTTAGATCAAACCCATGTTGCAGAAGCAGCTCATTTAGGCCTTGTTGAGATGTTCCTGCAGCTGGTTAGAGTTGAAAGGTCATTTATTTTATTTATTGAACAGTGCTCATCAATCAACAATAAGAACTACAGAAAAATTAAAACTAGTCTTTGGGGTAATAGGGTATATGCCGAAGCATGCTAACAGGACATTTAATTTGCCAGTCACCTGGGTTAATAATTTCCGGTGAGTTGTATGCTAATGCAAAACCTGCGCGTTTAAGGTCTGTTTTCTTTAAAAATCAGCCATCTCCACTGGCTGAGTGATATCTGTTATAAATTGATTGTACAAGAAGCACCGCATTAGATTACATTTTCCCCGCCATGTCTTTATAATATGAGCATTTTATTTTCCCCAGTATATTCAATGGAGCTTCTGCGCTAGCCTGCCGATTTCGACGGGCATGTGCGAGTAAGCGGCTTTTTGTCTCATTTTGAGCAACTAAATGAATGCCAAAGTCTGTTTAACTGATTGAATTTGAATTACATTACAACATCAATGCTGTAAAATGAACCGTATAAAATGAAAAAAAAAAAAACCTCACAATAACAGGTCACCGGAAGTTTATCAGTATGGGAAACACACTAGCTCGGCATATACCCCATTTGGGTACTTTTACGTTCTTTGAGAAGGTTGATTAATGTACACTGTCCCATGTTCTGAAAAATAAATAAACTTACCACCTGGCAGAAGCACACATGCTTTGGGTGTTGGCAGCTTAATTAGCAAAAATGCAGTTTGTTGCTTTGCTCAGTGAGCAGTAACTGTCCTAAAATGAGTTCTGAGATCAGTCTCAACCAACTGTATATGCAACTCATGAAATAAGCTTTAAAATAGCTCTTTAGTTTACTTAGGATAACTTCAAATAAAACTAAAAAACTTCAAAATGTACGACACATGATAGACGTACAGCGCATGATATTATCAGACCTTTGAGTTTAAGTTGAACAAAAATACAAATGTATTTAAACTTGTATTTAATAAAATCAACTCAATTCCATTTAATTGTTTAAAAAAAAATTTTTTAGTTTGTGCTTAACAAATTTATTGGAAATCCTGCCCTCAATTAAATTGAGTTCATTCAATGAGTTTTTTTTTTTTTGAGTGCACATTATTCAGCTGTCTTGATAAATATTCTTCTTTATGCATAAAAATGCAGTATTTAAAGCAATAAGTACAACCACTCAAAAAAATGACATTTGTTGCTCATATGAAACCTACATGCAGTATATATGCACATATATGATAATATATTAGCTGCATATATGCGTATATATGCCACATACTGTATGGGCAAAATTGAGGTGCATTAATAGTTTAAATCAGAATTATTAATATTGGTTCTAATCCATTTTAATTTGTAACAGTTAACTTAATAAATCTGTGTTAGGACAACATAAAGGGATTCAGCACTTTTACAGTGTATAACTGTAATTAAATTAACAAAACACTAATTAAAGGCAATCTCTTTACTTATTTCAGTTGAAAAGTAATAAAAAAATACAGTAACTAGTGATTTGCCAACTATTGCCAATGTAATTTTTTGCTGTGCAAATACTGTACATTTAAGCTACAATAAACATCAACAAACTATCTCACCGCTGTGCGCAGAAAAGCTTCCATACTTCTGGGGACCTTTCTTTGGCTCTCGCTGGCTGCTGATCCTTTCATCCTGGGAAAAAGTGTCCTTGTTATAATCCTTGTATTCAAGCGGGAAGTCCAGATCCTGGAAAAAAGATGAGGTGGAGTGTGGTGCTGCCACACGATGGCGTGAGCTGGGCTGTGCAGGAGAGGAAAGGAGGAGAGTCATCAGATCCTGCAGAAGCTGATCATCCTTATCCAGAGATGGAGGAACTGGAGGATTTCCCCTGACACGAGAGGAGGATGCGGGATATCTGCCCTTCTCCACCAGGTTTAAAGAGCGCTCCTCTTCATCTTGATAACCATACTGTTAGACAAAAAAAACACACATGCACACACATGATGTTGAAATTAAAGAAAAGTAGTTGTAATATATATATAAAACCAGGTCACAAATGTAGTCAGGTGCTAGCCCATGCACTGCTTTGTATGACAAAATCAGAACTCAGAAAATCGGTTCAGTTCGTTATGCTTTTATATCCGTTTCCTATGTCAAAAAGTACCTAAAAGTGAACTGTACCACTTTTTGGGTACCCTTTGCAAAGGGTACCTTATAACAAAAAAAGGGTACCAAAAGGCAGAACCAGACACGCAGCTGAACACTATTGATATACAGAAATACCTCACTCGCTCCTGCAACAAGACAGGAGTATGAAAACAAAGAAAGCTGATGTTTTTGTAAGTTAATCTGCTATTACATTATTTTATTTTGTTTATTCTCTATTGATTTGTTCTTTTGATGTAAAAATAATTGTGAGCATTGTATTCCTAATTTTTTGTATGCTATTGTTCTTGTGATACATTATTTTTTTTTACATTAAAAAAAAGAATAAAAACAAAGAAACCGCCATTTTTAAAAACACAGACAAACAGACAAACGTGAGACTGATGCACAAAAAAACAAAGGAGAAGCTGGAAAAATGGAGCAAATGATTCTTTCAGCAACCTAAACCATGAACAAACTGCCATATTTAACTATTATCATCAGCTTTTGGATTCAGAATGAACTCAGAATGATTAAATTACTTTCTAACAGAGTGCTACATGTGCTGATGGAGACACAGATGAGAGGTTTGCACTGACTGTGAGCTATATGTTGAGTGTTGTTTTTGAAGCCAAATAAGGACTAGATGTCTGCTGTGTGTAGTTTTTCTGTAATTGGTAACATATCGGAGACTGTAAGGGTCTGTGTGTGTTCATATATGTTGTATTTTTTTATTTATCTATTTTATATAATCACAGACGTTACAGTAGGCTATTTCGCATGGATCATTGAACTGTAGCTATCCGCTTGTTAAGTGGTGATGTGTTTGTGACGTATGTATACTGTTTCCGGGTCCAATATGAGTGGAGAAATCATTTGTTTATGATCACGTTTTATTCCTATCACACATTAAAGTTAATTTTATATAAAATCATAGTGTACACAACAATCTCTGGGCTTGTTGCATAACAAATACCAAAATTTTTACAATTTATAAAAAATTAATCACTTTCTGGCCATCGGATATTAGGCATGGACATATATACTGCGATCGTGATTTTCGAAAGCCTTAAATCGCTTTGTAAACGTTTATTATTACCATTTCATGAGTCTCCCCATTCAGTTGAATAGAGCGCATGGACCCGGAAGCCGCTTCGAGTGACGTCACACTTAACGGATACTCAAATCATTTTCATAGAAATATTAGTAATGATAGTTTCATAGTATATTAGTAATGAACATTTATATACAAGTATTTATGTGTATAAAGCATCTGTTTTGTGAGAAGTGCTTCTCATATGATATATGAATGACCCGTACAGCTTTACTTTGGCATTTCCTTGAGTGACAATGATGTTGACTGAAACTTTCTGTTGTACACCACACCCATTGGTACACTTTTGGCAGTGGGAACGCAAGCCTCATAAAGGTGACCCACACCGTACTGTACATTCAGTGGAAACAGGCCCTTACACTTTATGTTAAGTTTAGGCCTACAGTAGGTTTATGATTGTTATCCAACTATTATTCCCCTCTGATTTTGGGAATAATTTAGTTATGGTTTGTCACGGTTGTAGGTGTGTGCGCACTTCTGAGTGTCTGTTTGGTTACATGGTTTGTTTTGTTTTGGTGTTCCACGTGTGTCGGGTTCCTCAGTGTTATGTCACGTGCTATATAGAGCCCTGCTATCCTGATTAGCCTGCCAGCTGCGACTCATTATCTCGGCTTTATCTGGACAGCGCATCTCTTGTCTCGTGTCAGTTCGGTGTTGTTTTTGATGTGCTCTCTGTCTGTGTTCAGGACTGGTGAGGAGATTCGTCTGATACCCAGATCTACTGTTCTGTTCTTCCCCTGATCCCTGTTTGAGCGGGATACCATATATCTTCTGTTTGTTTATTTGTCTTTTTGGACTGTGTTCCTACGCTAAATTGACTAAGTCAATAAAGTATTTTACTTGCCAATGGATCCTTCTAGTACTCATTTCACCCGTTACATGGTTGGTTTAGGGGTAGGGAATAGTTATGGATTAAATTTTCGAACAAAAATGAATCAACGAATCAACCTCAACATAGATGTTAACCCAGGATTGCATGTAAATATTCCCAATTTTCTTATTTTCTTATCTATGATAGCATATAGCAGTGAAAACTGGGAGAAGGGAGATACGGTACAAATAAGACTCTTGGCAGAGGGAGGTGAATTATTTGAACCACTTGAATATGACCACAGGCCTGAAAGTGCTGTATTTGGTGTTTTTTTGGGTTCACTCACTCTCTGGTAGCTATAAGGATCCAGACTTTGCATATGGAGAGAAGATTGAGGCGGATCGACAATCATGTAGTCCATGTAGGGATGTGCCTGTTTGGAGTTGAGCTGATTTGTAGAGCCACTCTGAGACCTTCGATCAAGGAGAGATTCAGAGAGAAATCAATGCAGTAAAAGTGAAAGAGAAAATGAGTATATAGCAAAACTGTAAGGGTTACTCTATGGACGGGCCATTCTTTGTGCCAGAAGACAGTGGGATCTTCGGCACTTTGCTGAGTTCTTTCTTAATCACTGATTGGGTAACATCATCCTGCCAAGTTAGTCCTGCAAAATAGTTCATGAAAAAATGCATTAGCTTTGGGGTCCAATAAAAAACTCAGCTCTTTGGTTCTCTGGATTTGCCATTAATGAAAATGTACTCATTTTTTATTATAAACCTTTATGAGTGTCTTAAACACTAAAGAAGATATTTTGAAGAAAGCTGTGACTTGTAAGCCTGTAACCATAGACTTCCATACATTGTAAAAAGCTATGATTTGCTTTACTTTCAAAAGTAAATTATTCATACCTGTCAACCCTCTTGTTTTGGTGGGATTCTCCTGTATTTTACCATTCTATCCCACTATCATCCTGTTTACGTATTTTCTCATATTTCTCCCGTAATTTTAATCTTTCTATGAAAAGTGAATGTGGCATTAAAGAGCAGATAGCAAATGTGATATAATTGCAAGAGCTTTTCAAAAAATATTTTGGTTTGAAAGCACATTGAAATAAATATCTAAACCGCCACATTCACTTCATTTCCATTAAAGCTGTGCCTCGATCGTCATTCTTCCTATGCAACCACTGATGGACACACTCTGCATAAAGACACTGTTCCCAGATCAGCTTTTGTATAAATGCGATTTGAAGAGGAGCGTAAGTGGACACTTTGGGATTTGAGTGTTTTTAAACAGACAAATACACTTAATAAAATGTAAACATGTCCGTCCTGGTGAGTTTTATTTAAAACACAAATTATTTCCTCTTAAAAGAACATCAACAGTTACTGCAGTAACCGAATGCTTTCATTATAGATCTGTTATCAAACAGAATCAGGTATGGAGTAGGTACACTGTAAAAAGTGATTAGTTACTTAAAGCGAGTAAACCAATTGTCTTAAAAGCAACAAGTTAACTTTACAAAAATGATGTAAGTAAACCCATTGTAACATTTTTTTATAATTATGCTAATTATGCTAATCTTTAACAGTGAGATTTTTTCAACACATTTCTAAACATAATAGTGTTATTAACTCATTTCTAATAACTGATTTTTTTTTTTATCTTTGCCATGATGACAGTACATAATATTTTGCTAGATATTTTTCAAGACACTTCTATACAGCTTAAAGTGGTATTTAAAAGCTTAACTAGGTTAATTAGGCAGGTTAGGGTATTTAGGCAAATTATTGTGTAACGATGGTTTATTCTGTAGACTATCGAAAAAATATAGCTTAAAGGAGCTAATAATTTTGACCTTAAAATGTTTTGTAAAAGATTTAAAACTGCTTTTATTCTAGCCGAAGTAAAGCAAATAAAAATTTTCAACACTGTAAAAAAATCAGTAATTTTACGGTTTATCTCTGGCAGCTGGTGGTGCCAGAAAAAAGTTTACTGTAAAACAACAGATATTAAATGACAGAATATTCCTTAAATTTCTGAATAATTTATGTAATTTAATAACCATTATTTTATTGTAAATATCTGTAATTTCACGATCATTATTTTGTGTTTGTTTTTCCCAGCAACCCAGCTGCCGGAAATAAGCCGTAAAATTATGGATTTTTTTACAGTGTAGTAGAAAAACGTATTATCAGACATACAGTGAAAATTTCCTGTCTTTGTTAAACATAATTTAGGAAATATATTTAAAAAAAAATCAAAGGGGGGCTAATAATTCTGATTTAAACTGTATATATATATATATATATATATATATATATATATATATCCAGTGCCCCAAAATATCCTATATATCCAGAAAAGTATTTATTATAGTAAGTATTATAGTAAGTAATTATAGTTAAAGTAAGTAAAATTACATTTTTTAAGAAATGCTGAAAATAGAAAATAATAGAAGGCGCAACAATATATATTTATTTGTTTTTATTTGTTAAAAGCTTTAAATGATGCAAACATTTTAGAGAAAATGTCAGACAGGTGGGCCTTCAAAAATTGATTGAAAGAAGTGGGCCCTAAAGTGAAAAAGGTTGAGAACCCCTGATCTAAACAATAATATTCTTACATAAATTTCAAAGATGTTTTGTGAGCAGTTTATAAAATCCACAAACACAAAGGAATATTTTACCCAAAACACATATCTATTACTAGCAAATGCAGAGAACTGATAGTACTTCTAGTGCTGCAAATCAGTGTGTAAAGAAATTGCTAATCAATATATTTAAGAGTAAAGATTGTGTCATAAATGTTTGCAGGGGTCTGACACACATCTTTACACGCTTTAAACCTCATCTTCGACCCATGCACTGTACATTACAGGCACTCTCTCATTTATTTGCCCTCGGTTGCTACGGTAACACGGACGATTTTCTGTCACATGCCGGTAGATGAATCGTCACTTTTGCCCATTGTGTTTACAATGTGTTGTTTCCATGGCAACCTTTTTTTTTTTTTTTTAAGAAACGCAGGCTGTATTGATGGAGGATGTTAAAACGTGCATGTCAGACTCACCTTCCTTCATGAGTGTTTGCAGTAATGACTGTAGTCTGTCCAACAGAACTGCAGTCACCCTGTAGCGAAACCTTTCCTGTCTCTCCGCAAGACACTGACCAAACAGCTCATCTGCAAATACACATATTAAAACCTTATAGTGTAGGAATATACACAGTGACTATGGCCTGCTGAGCTGTTGTCTGTTGATGCATTCCTAGTGGTCAAAATAGCATTGAAATCTCACTAAAGGAGGTTAAACAATGACGTTGTTTGCTAAGGTTTACGGTTGTTGTTTTCCTCCCTGACCCAATGATAGCAATTTTTGGCTGGTCAGATTTTCTGGAGACTCTCAACTAAAATATTTGGTTACCTGTTCTGTATGGCATGATCATAGCCAAGAAAGTTATCCTTTGTTTCTGGAAGAAAAATGTTAGGCCTCTTTTTTTCTGACTGGCTTTTTCGACTGGCTTTTTCGACAATTGGAAAGAATGAGATATATCTCTTCTGGAAACAAATTGCTAAAATGTGGGATGAAGTCTTTTCTTTTTTTTTTTCTAAAACACTATAAAGACTAATAGTGTTGATTAAGTTTTTTTTTTCTCTCTCTCTTTACATCCATTGATGTCTTTTTGTTGTTCATATATGTCTTGTACAGTATGTCGCCATTTCGTCACCTTGGAATTATGAGGTTTTATCTGCATCTAAATGATTTTGAGATATTAAGCTTCAAAGTTTTTGCATTTCATACATCAAACAATATGTGTGTAACAGTTTTCTTTCATACATTAACATGACAGAGACCCTAAATGTACTCATTATCAAAATAAAAGCAGATACAGATAGAAGCTTTAATTCTAAAAAGTCATTTTCCGCTTGGAATTATAAGGTTCTATCTGGCAGATCATTAATTATAGCATTACTTTTCAAGAAATACAATTAGTCTGTTTATTAATTTAATTAAAAATATTTTTAAATTGGTGTTGTAACAATATGTTGATGCTTGAGAATGTTTTTTTTTTTTTTTTTTTTTGCTTGCTGTAACATTTATTTCATGTTTTAGGATGAATATTTTTTCTTGTTCAAATTAAGCATAGGCTGTGCTAAATATTTTGTCCAGTGCAGCTGTTAATTTGATGTAATTAATATGGTAATGTTTATAGAATTTGATGCTTTTTATGAATTATTGAATTATATTTATTGAGTTATCCCATGAATGAAATTAAGTATTTGCCCTTCAAGGCTTAATATCAAATTTAAAGACTTTGAAAGAAAACAGACAATGAGGAAATTAGTTGTTTAACAAAGTTTAATAAAAACTTTCCTGCTGTCAACTGGCGAAAAAAATATATATATATATGAAATGCTGGTTGGCTCAGAGAAACAGCCTTACAGAGCCAAGCTAAAGTTCAACTTTGTAGATAAAACCTTTTGTTGTTGTTGTTGTTGTTGTTGTTGTTTTAAATAAAAAGTCTTAAAATGTAAACAATTTCACAAAAAAAAAAAAAAAAACATGATGTAAAGCTGTCATTTAAAAAGAATTTCAATAACTCAATTTTGACAAAAATGTCAGATAGAACCTTATAATTCTAAGGTGAGGATTTCCCCTTGTTTCATGCATTATTTTAGATTTTGCACAGATTATTGTTTTCTGATGAGTTTGTCTGTTCCTTGTTTTTTTATGTTTGCAAAAACTAAAATAAAAATAAACAAATAATTTTTTTCCAGTGATGGGTTGCAGCTGGAAGGGCATCCGCTGCATAAAAATGTGCGGGATAAATTGGCGGTTTATTCCCCTGTGGCAACCCTGGATTAATAAAGGGACTAAGCCGACAAGAAAATGAATGAATGAATGAATGAATGAATGAATGAATGAATGAATGAATGAATGAATGAATGAATAAGGACAACATTTTTACTATATTGTAATTTTAAATTAAAATATCACCAGTCAAACCGGCCACTTTATAAACAGACAGATAAAAGGAAAGTCTTTGGAAAGATAATTTGAAATTCAACGTAATAATTTTTATTTTATTATTATATAAACCCACATTGGTGAATCTAAATGTTTTTATTCATTTATTCTTTTCATTTTATTTTTCTTTGTATACAGTATTGTATTTTATGTTATAATTTATAACAAGTTATAAAAAATGGAAGATAAAATTAAAAAATAATATGAAACCATAATATAAATGATAAAAATGGAGTCTTTGTAAAGATAATTTGAAATTCATTGAAATAAAGTCTTTTTAATATTATATACGCCCATATACTGGTGAATTGAAATGTTTTTATTTATTCTTTTCATTTTGTTTTATCATTGTATACAGTATATTATTTTATAATCTGTTATAAGTTGGAAGACAAAATTAAATGGAAGACAAATAAAAAACATTAAAAACAGTAAAAATGGAAGTCTTTGGAAAGATGATTTGAAATTTAAGGTAATAATGTTTTTTATATAGATATATATTATCTATACCCACACTTTGGTGAATTTAAATGTATGCATTTATTTATTTATTTAATTATGTAATTAATTATTTAATTATTATTTTTTTATTCATTCTTTTCTTTTTCTTTTCTATTTGTATACAGTATTGTATTCATTCATTAATTTTCCTTCAGCTTAGTTCTTTATTAATCAGGGGTCGCCATAGTGGAATGAACCACAAACCATGCCATTATATGTTTTATGCAGCGGATGCCCTTCCAGCTGCAACCCAGCACTGGGAAACACCCCTACACTCTCATATTCACACGCACACATACACTACGGCCAATTTAGCTTATTCAATTTACCTATAGCGAATGTCTTTGGACTGTGGGGTAAACTGGAGCACCTAGAGGAAACCCACGCGAACACAGGGAGAACATGCAAACTCCACACAGAAACACCTCCAGGACTCGAACCAGCAACCTTCTTGCTGTGAGGCAACTGTGCTAACCAATGAGCCACCGTGCTGCCCATTGTATTTTATTACTTATTTTAAATTTTATTTCTGTTTAATAAATATTGGGGTGGGAAATTCTGTATTATTAAGTTAGTATTCTGTATTGTTCCTTGAGTTTTGAAATATAATTAAAATCAATAAAAATAAATAAAATAAACAACAAAAATTAGGACTGTCCCCTGAAAAACTTGGTCATCTGGTCAGACTAAAAACTCGACTATGTTGTAATGCACGTTTTCCTATGAGGATCTCTTTTCCTATTTATATCTACTGTCTCACCCCTGCTCTCTCTGCTTCTGTTCGACATAAACACAGACTACGGAGAGGGGGAATTTGTGTGATGTCACAGTTGCCATGGAAATGGTGGAAGAGCACTGATTGGGTGAGTCAGTATTTACTGTGTAGTCAATGATTTTTTTACACACTCAAACCACAGCTACAACAACAGAGAGCTGAAACCTTCATAGCTGTTAACAGAGTCTGTGTTTATTCACACTTTATTTTTGTAATGAAATTTGTCAGCATGACAGACAAAGACGGTACACTTCAAAATTTTAAATTAAGAATCATTTTGTAGACAATTAAAATCATTGTCTTGTTTTTTTTTAATGATAAGTCAACATGAGCTAAATAATTCCAGTGCGATAAAAAAAAGAACTTTTTTCAAACCAAAAAGAAAATTATTTTACTTACCCCACTGGTAGATTTTTTTGCTTGTTTTATGAAAAATCTCACCTAAAGTGGTGGTCCAGACTGTATTTTTAATATTTATTAAAGTTTATGGGGTGCAAAACAATGTGTGCTCAAGCTGCACTTGTAGAAAATCTTGTTTTATTTTTTTTCATATTTCTTACTTTAATTATATACAGCTAACCAGCTAACATTAAAAAAAATCCTAGTTCATTCGAATGCCACCCTCAAGAGGCTCTGATTGGTCAGCTAACACAATGTGCATAAATGTCACGGATCGGCTCCCAGTCACCAGGAAGCATCACACCTCTACTAGCACATGCTTCGCCATTTTGTAAACAATGTCAGTCAGAGTAGCTTTTAGCCGTATCAGTTTGAGCCTGATTCAGACAGAAAATTACGAGGACACAGCTAAGCCTGCTCTCTAAAATTAAATCTGACAAGTGTCTTTTATATATTTTCAGAACAAGCATGTGTAAATAATATAAAACAATACACATCTTTTGCGAATTCAATAATTGAGATGTAGAATGCAAGGAATGCGGAAGCATGAGACACAGCAGCTCTGCTGAAGCGGTTTGACTGATAAATATGAATTTGTAGCTAAAATGTTAACGGTGCCAAACAGCACTTCCCGTTGTTTACATCCTTGTTTACACCCTTGCTAAAACATCCTGTTAACACTAGAAACTATGCATGTAATAGATCAATTTGAACTAATTAAATCACAGGTTGTGACTCACAATCCACAGCATCATCTATTATGATTGGAGCTCCTTCTTCTAAGAGGAGTTTTTAGCCGAATCCAGCACTGAACTGGGAGAGATTCTGGAAGCTGTCCTTTGTCAAATACTAGAGCTTTATCTTTTTTATAATTCTGTTGAACAGTAAAATTTAATTTTAAGTACTTCTCTCTTTGTGTCATGTCATTTGGAAGCTCAAATACAGAAACAGAAGAAGCTCTGTGGAAATTTCATTTTAGTTTTCTCTGCTATAGCAGAATTTGTTGCGCAGGGTGTGTGCATGTAACCTGAAGGGTTTATGATCTCATTAACCTGCATGTATTTCTACGTAGTCCTCAAACTTCGTTTGCTGTAGGATTTGCTAAGCCAACTCTGTAAAAGCCAATGTCTCCCTTTGCATTGAACTTATATTATATTATATTATATAGTATATTATATTCACAGATGTTGTTTATGTTCACACAGCTACATTACACATCAACTAAAGTTTAAAATATGATATCATAGTGGACCACCCCTTTAATTTTGTTTTGTTTTTTTTACTGAAAACAAGCCAATCATCTTTACTTGTCTCGAAGATGCTTCTTGATTTAAGAATTTTTCAATATTTGGACTAGAAACTAGACTAAGGGCTCTATTTTGACGGTCCATGCGCAAAACGCAGGGCGCAAATGCTTTCAGGGCATGTCAGAACGCATTTTTGTTAATTTACGGATGGGAAATCCTGCTTTGCGCGAAGGCGCATGGGCTAAAAGGGTTGAGTTTATTTTCTTAATGAGTTATAGGTGTGTTTTGAGAATAAACCAATTAGAGTCTCATCTCCCATTACCTTTAAGAGCCAGCTGCGTCGCGCCATAAGCGCATTCGCTATTTACAGGACGTAAAGTAAGTCTAAGTGGAAAAACTGAGCATTTCACAAGCAAACAGTTAACAGTTTTTTTTTAACAGAAAACTGTTAAACAGAGCATCTACTGCGTGAGAATGAGAGATATGGATCACTTTCATTTTCGCTCTTGGATAGGGAAACCTTTACGCACAGACATCAATTAGCCTATAAATAATTAATTGTGTTTGTTAAGCGCAAATATTCGTTTCAAAACTATTTTTAAATTCAGTTCTAATTTCCAGCAAACAAATAAATGAACAATATTAACGAAGTGTGTTTAAAAACCTGAGTTATATCCTAAAACACATGATGTGCCCCTTATGGTCTAAAACCTGACAGGAGGGCAAATCTAAGCTTGTTTTTAAAAATATATATATAAATATGGATATAATAAATAATACTGCGAATAATAATAACATTATATAAAAGCAAATTGTTATGAATGAACTGAAAAAGCCTCCCGAGATGAAGAAGACATAAAAGCAGTGGTTTTTCATATTTATGTAGGCTAGAAAATAATATGTTTTGTAATAGTTTAATCTTTATTTTTATATTCTATATCTATTCTTATTATATCGTATATATATCCTTAATATATATTTTTTTTCATATGTAAAGATATTTGGCTATTGCTCTCTTGTGAGTATTAAGCAGTGCGTAAGCGAGGCACAACTCTGTGCTGGAGTTTAGACCGGGTTTGTTTTGGTCTAATGAAAAATCTATTATAGTTTCTCAAAATAGCGACGCGCCAGCAGTGCGCCTCAGAACGCCTTCCTTTTTAGACCAGAACGCCTATGGGAACATCTGAGTGCAAATGCATTTGCTATTTAAACAGCGTAGCGCAACGCCTCAAAACGACTCTTGCGCCAAGCTTAAACTAAACAAATATTGCGCCGCGCCTTGCGCCACATTGCGCCAGGTGTATGATAGGGCCCAAAAAATTAAGTAAGAAAATCCTCTTTTTGCAGTTTACACATACAAAATGAGGACAAGACTGGTGAATGCATGTCAAATAAAACATAAAAGAAAAAAAGTATGGTATTGAATTAATAGTATTAAAGTAACTGTTCCAGGAACATTTTTTATCTAGCAATAAGCAACATTGTACAAGAGTCAAAAACTCACCATCCCAGCAAATCTCCCCTCTGGAGCAAAGGCCTTCATCAAACAGACAACCTTCAGAACAGAGAAACGGAGAAAGAGAACACATTGTATGAAGGAGGTTAGAGGTAATTGTTTTCCAGACATTTGACAAAATAGACCAGCACAGGCCATCTGTTCACATTTGCGAGCAGGTTGTTTTAAGATTTGTTGGAGCTCTCAGCAACACAAACGTCTCAGAGATGCGACCCATTTCCAGTAAACGGATCATTTCAGTGCCCTAAATCAATATGTGCATTTGATTATCAGAATGTCAATCAATTTAGCGCCATAGCAACAGCAAAAAAGCAATAGCTCGGAATCCATAACAGCCATAAGTAATGAATTACAAGAATGTTGCCAGACAAAACAAAGTAAGAGTAGCTCCAGCTGTCATCTCCATCTCGCCACAAACACTACTTAAAGGAACATTCCAATTAAAAAAAGGCTCATATTTAGAGTTAAAAAGGACTAGACCATCGGATTAGAACATTAGCATCTCTCTCAAAGATGACAGGAAATTTGATAATTTTCCCGTTTAAAACTTGACTAGTAATAGGCTAAGATCAATAGAAAACGAAAAGCTGCCATTTTTATTTGAACTATACACTTTCTGGTATAATAATCAACTGAAAACAACCAACGTGACCTCCTGCTTGCAAGTTGGAAGTAACCTGCACTCTCAGAAATAAAGGTACGCGATCTGTCACTGGGGTGGTACCTTTTCAATAGGGACAAATTTGTACCTAAAAGGTCCATATTGATACCTCAAGGGTACATATTAGTACCTAAAAAGTACAAAAGTGTTCCTCTTAAAAGTTTAGGTATTAATTTGTATCCTTAAGGTATTAATATGGACCTTTTAAGTACAAATTTGTACCTTTCGAAAAGGTACCACCCCAGTGACATTGTGTACCTTTATTTCTGAGAGTGTAGCTGGGGCTATTTTCAGGTTCTGCGTAATATCATTGTGCCTTATGCAGCTATGGTACGGCAGCAAAGTTCCTTGATTAATACGCCAGAATGAGAGTATAATTCCCAGACATTTCTGTTCCGGTCGGTACACGATGTAACTACAGAAGGGTCAAGCTGTTAATAGAAAAATAATCAAAAATCGTTAGTCATTTTTGAACAAGATGCTAAAGGTCTAATCCGTTTTAATGATCTATGCTAAGCAAAGCTAAAAAAAAAAATAAAATAAAAAAGGCTTATATTTAGAGGTAAAAAGTTAGGTTTTACCATTTTTTTTATCCACCCAGCCAAACTATGGGTCTCGCAGAATTACTTTTAGCTTAGCTTAGGATAAATCATTGAATCGGATTAGACCATTAGCATCTCTCTCAAAAATGACTGGAAATTTAATCATTTCCTATTTAAAGCGTGACTCTTCTGTAGTAATATTACCCTTATTCTTCGCCAACGAGTGTGGGCATAGCCACTTGAATAGTTTGACTCAAGACATCCTGTCTCATTCACTTCCATTCATTTTTAGACATTAAAAACTGCTCGTTTAGCTGTTTGATGTTGCAAGCTGATATTTCCTTATGATATTATTCTACTTGGTCTGTATAGTAATGCAAACGTTTGTTTGTAGAGCAAGAAGTTGTATCATTTTCTGCCGTTTATTATTCCTAGTCATTTCTCCCATAGGCGACTGAATCGGAAGTTCTAAAACAATCGCAAAAACAGACGCACTTCTGCATTTTAGAATAAGATCAATAGGCTAAGACCAATGGAAAACTAAAAGCTGCTATTTTATTTGAACTATACACTTTCTGACATAATAATCAAGGAACTTTGCCATAAAATGACTGAAGTTGGCACACAATGATATTTTGCAGGACCTGAAAATCATTTACATCTTTCAAAACAACGAATGTGACCACCTTGTTGCTCAGCAAACATGTGCAAGTTGGAAGCAACCTAGCACTATTTTTAGGTGCTGCGTAATATCATTGTGCCTGCTGCAGCAAAGTTTCTTAATTATTACACCAGAATGCATTATTCCTAGACATATTTTTTTTCTGGTCGGTACACAATGTAACTACAAAAAAGTCAAGCTGTTAATAGGAAAGTTATCAAAAATCGTTAGTCATTTTTGAGTGAGATACTAATAGTCTAATCCATTTCAATGATCTATGCTAAGCTAAGCTAAAAAAAGGCTCATATTAAGAATTTAAAAAGTTGAGTTTTCCATTTTTTAATCCATTCAGCCAAACTACAGGTCTCGCAGAATTACTTTTAGCTTAGCTTAGCATAAATCATTGAATTGGATTAGACCATTAGCATCTCTCTTAAAAATGACTGGAAATTTGATAATTTTCCTATTTAAAGCTTGACTCTTCTGTTGTTACATATAGGCTAAGACCAACGGAAAATGAAAAGCTGCTATTTTATATGACTTATACACTCATTCTGGCTTAATAATCAAGGAACTTTGCCATAAAATTACTGAAGTAGGTACAATGATATTATGCAGGACCTGGAAACCAATTACTTTTTTCAGAACAACCAAAGTGACCACCTGCTTGCACATGGAGCATGTGCAAGTTGGAAGTTATAGCTGGGGTTATTTTCAAGTGCTACGAAATATCATGGTGCCTGCTGCAGCCATGGTACAAAGTTCCTTGATTATTACGCCAGAATGAGAGTATACATATCTGTTCCAGTCGGTACACAATAGCCCCTTTCACACAGTGATACCGTTAAATATCTGGAAAATTTCCGGAACGACTTTACCAGTATATTCAAAAAAGCGCTGTTCACACAGGCGAGGACGTTACGGAAATTTTCCGGAAAAGAGCATTCACACATCCATTCCAAAATACCAGTATATTCTGACATCATTCACCACAAATGAGCTTTAAACGGCTGCGCTTGTATTTGTAAACATTTGACTAAATTACAAATTCTGTGGATGATCAATATTGTGAACAACTTTCGCAGGATCACTTTCACATGTCGAGATGTTCATAACACGTGCGTGTGCAGGCGCTCACAGGCTGTTTCACAGGCACACGCAAAGCTTGAAGGTAAACAAACAACGACTTATCCTAAGCATCTCATCGATGATTATTTACACAGTTGGCATAAAGAAGAACATATAAACGTGATCTGACTAACTTCTAGCAGCTAAATGTGTCTGGAAAAATATTCAAAGGCTTTTATCCTCACAAACCGCGCGGACGTAAATGCGTCTGACTGTTGTGATTGGCTAAAGCAGGCGTCTCACGTCAGCACGTTCTAGACGTGCACGCGCTTATTACGGCAATCTTCCTTCTGCATTCACACAGCGCAGCATTCCGGCAAATTGCCGGTAATGTTACAACTTTTCTTTCCGGAAAATAGCCAGAACGAATTTACCGGTATTTTCAAAAAGGACCTGTTCACACATACAACCTTTCCGGAAAATTGCCGGCACAGGTCTGTATGTGTGAAAGGGGCTATTGTAACTACAGAAGACTCAAGCTGTTAATAGGACGATTATCAAAAAGCGTTTGTCATTTTTAAGCAAGATGCTAATCTGTTTTAATGATCTATGCTAAGCTAAGCAAAGCTAAGCTAAAAAAAAAGTTCATGTCAGATCTAGAGATTGGCTGAATGGATTCAAAAATAATAAAACGCAAGTGTTTAATTCTATTTTTTGGTTCTTTAAAGGGACAGTTCAGTCAAAAATGAAAATTCTGCCATTGTGTACTCACTCTTCACTTGATCAGAATTTAATGACTTGCTTTCTTCTGTTGAACGTAAAAGATATTTTGAAGATTATAGCAGTTATAATACAATTCCAAAGTCATTTGTTTCCTCATTGAAAAAAAAACGATTCAAAGATGATTCCTTGGGTTTACTATTTTGTTTTAAGTGGTTGTAAACAATTTATTTGGGCTGAGTCTAAACAAACTAAGTTGAACGTTACTAAATGTAATTTGTTTGTTTAAATTCAACACATATAAATTGTTTGCAACAATTTGGCTGACATTTTTTTCAATGTCCGTAAGGAAGTTAATATGTGTCAGCAGCAGCATTCTTCAAAATAACTTATTTTGTGTTCAACAGAAATAAAAAATAAAAAAACTCGTAAATGTTTAAAACCACATGAGGGAGAACAAGTGACGAGGTCAGTTTTATTTTTGGCTGAACTATCCCTTTGATATTGCAAATAAGAATGACAAACAACTGAAAAAAGCAACATCAGGCTCAAAATGACAAGCCAAATTCTCATGTTTGAACGCATACCAGAATAATGTGCAGTGCACTCTGCCAACCTTCCTTTCATCCAGTCCCCTAGCGCACTCTCTCAACCACACACTTACACACACACACACACACTTGAGAGTTGGGCAGACACACTCGTCATACATAATTAAATCATGGAATGAAAGTTGGTTACATGAGTGGGAGTTCCTGCCTCAGTCTGCTGTGTGCGTTGACTCTGCTATTAAACAAATGTAAAGTCTTCCTGAGGCAAAAGGGCAAGCAGGCCCAGTTCTGTGGGGAAGTGCAATTAAATTCACCCTTAAATAAAAGCTAAACCACAATGGTTGAAAAACTGGAGTCTAATAACAGGATATTGGTGAATTGGCTCCAATAAATGTGTTGTTTGTGCTTTAAAGAGAGCAGCACTGAGCAGTGCATCCAGTCATATTGTCAATTTATCCAACACAATGGCCTAACAAAAGTCTTTAAGTTGGTCAGGATTCACTCTGCACTCCACTGTATGAGGGATATCAATGTAGCAAAGACTAGACATGATGCAAATAAGGGTGTGATTATAACAGACAGCTTAAAGGGATAGTTCACACACACACAATACATTTATTCTGTTACGAGTAGTTGTTGTAGTGTGCGTGTGTGGTGTTTTTCTGTCTCGCTCTCTCAATTATTCGCAGGTCCTGTGGATTACGTCGGATTGGGATTGGCGCTTGGATCGGTGGCGGCGGTATTTAAACATCAGAGAACATGGATTCATCGGCTCGCCGCTCTCTCTCGATTCCCCGCTCGTTATTCTTTGTGGAGATGTTGCTATTTTGAACAATAAAAGTTAAGTGATTGTTGCATGGTGTCTCTTGTTGGCATTTTGTTAGATGCCGATTTGAAGTTGTGCATTTCAACTAGAGAAACCCGGTTTTCTGTCTCTCTCTGTCTAACTTGAGAGCATGGTGGGGAGGTTTGGTGCCTTCTGTTTATTTTTTTTTTTTCTCCTGTGTTGTTAGTAGGGAGCTAAGTTTTCTGTGTTTTATTTACTTATTTCCTATTTCTATTTTCTTCAATTTAGTTAGTTTGGTTTATTGCCATTTTATTTTGGCTTAACGCCTCCCGAGGTTATTTTGCTCATTATAATTAGCCTAGTATTTTCTTGTTGATTCTCAGTGGTTTGTGATTTGGTTTATATCTTGCGTAGGGGCACCACCAGGGATTGTTTTTAATACCTGTTAACTTTTCTGTAACTGTGTTTTTGGTTAAACTTCTTTTTGATTAAGGATTTTTAATTTAACAACTCATTAATTATCAAAAACAATAAGTTAATGATTTTTTTTATTCATCCTCCAACTTGTTCCAAACTGTTTTCAGAATTTTTCTTCTAAACACAGATACAGTATGCTGATACATGTAGTTTTTTTTTTTTTTGTCAAGCTTTAAAAAAAAAAAAAGATCAAAAATGCAAATGTTCTAATCTGATTTAACCATCTATGCTAAGCAAAACTAAAAGTGCTGAACATATTCAAAAATGGTAAAAACTTCACTGTTTAATTCCATTGTTTGTTCCATCTTATTTGTTTTATTTCGGCTAGAATAAATAATATTTTTAAACACCATTGTAAGGACTAAATTATTCGCCTCTTTAAGCTATTTTTTAGTCTATAGATATATTTATAGTCTACAGAACAAATCATTATACAATAACTTGCCTAATTACCCTAACCTGTCTTGCTTAATTAACCTAGTTAAGCCTTTAAATGTCACTTTAAGCTGTAAAGAAGTGTCTTGAAAAATATCTAGTAAAATATTTACTGTCATCATGGCAAAGATGAAATAAATCAGTTATTAGAAATGAGTTATTAAAACTATTATGTTCAGAAATGTGCTGAAAAATATCTCTCCTTTAGACAGAATTTGAGGGAAAAATAAACGGGGACTAATAATTCAGGGGGTCTAATAATTCTGACTTTAACTGTATATCTGTATATGAATTTTTTTCACTATGGATGCCAATAGCTGATTTTTGGAATTTTTTAAGAATATTTTATTTTGTGTTCAACAGAAAGAAATGCATTCATAAAAGCTTAGAGCCACTTAAATGTACAGTAAGTAAATGCTGAGGAACTTTGTATTTTTGTGTGAACTATTGCTTAATCCAGTAAACTTAAGTAAGTTACAGCATTTTCATTATTATAATGGTAGCATTCTTTGCACACTTTATAAACTTTTCATTATTAATTGAATTTTTGTATAAAGGTTTGTTTTTATCGTGCTGCCAAGAATAGCAACGGCCACATTTATCTCAGGAGTGACATCTGCACATAAATGCAGGTTTCAGTTTAAAAGGTGCAATGACTGACACAGAGAGCTATAGTAATGCATGTGACAAAAACATAATTTGTCAAAATAATTATATTTATATATGGATGCAGACAAACAGACCTGTATCAACATCATTTAAAAACCCATTTCAACTGTTTGTAATATTTTAGAAAAACTTGCATATGCTGGGTTGTTTGGAAAAAAAAAACTCAAATTGGATTAAAACAACATTTGTTTGGTGATTTTTTTTTCTTTTAAAGAATCCTATGAAACATACAAGCCTCGGCCACTTTATAAGGTACACCTGTCCAACTGCTCATTAATGCAATCTTTTGATCATCCAATCACATGGCAGCAACTCAATACATTTAGGCCTGTAGACATTCGTCAATGGGGCACAAACAGCCACCAACAGTAAAATAGGGAGAAAAAAAGAAGAAAATTAATCAAAAACAATGTATCCAAAGCAATGTTGGTTCATATGTCTAAGACTTTGATAAAAGGTTAAAAAATACAGTCCACAATATTTTTTTCTATTTAAAATAAGACATTTTGTGTGTTTTTTTCAACAAATCAGTGACATCAATTATGAATTTGGCAAATAAAGAGTTAAATCCTGTAATTTTCTAAGAAATTTAGTAGTTTTGACCAGGACTGAGGTTGATTAAGAGATTTCTGCAAAATAATTAGAAAAAAAATATTTATCTGATGCATTTTTAGAGCAGTTTAACAAAAGGGTGGTATAACAAAATTGTAGTAAATTTGACCAGAGTGTATCGATTTTTTTATCTATTATTTTTTTTTAAATCAAAGCATTTTCTCAAAAGCTTTGTCATCAAAACTCATTCTGCTAGCTGAAACACAAAAAAGTTATGGCCAAATTAAGACTCAAAATCACCCTAGCGTGGATTCAAACATCCCCAACAGTGCATAAAGTAAACAGTGCAGGGTAAAGGGACACCTATGACATAAAAAAAAAAAAAAACACAAAACAGGATTTGCAAAGAAACTCGGATTAAAATATCCGTTTCAGTTCTCTGATCAGCTGCACATCAAGAATAAGTTGTGCAAGTTTACAACATTAAACAGTGCATGTTTGTAATAAAGAAAGACACTAAACTCACTATGTAATTCTTAATCACTGGAATCACCACATCCATATACTGTCAGTACAACAATATATAATTAGCAACACGAGAACAAAAACATTGCAAAGTTAAACGTAAGGCACAAGCTATAAAAACAGCTACACTTTGCTCTGAGCCCAAAATGGGCATATTCTGTATTGTTTATTAAATAATCTGATGGATATTTTGAGGTGAAATTTTACAGACACATTCTAGAGACACCAGAGACTTGTTTTACATCTTGCACAAGGGGGTAAATTAGAAGACCTTTCACTGCACCTAAGAAGAAGTGAAGAGTTGGAGGAAGTCCAAAAGGTATCCAGTAATTATATATCTCCCTATCCTGCCACCTTCCACAGACATGAAGATCAATGCTTCCTACAAAACATCTCTCTCTCTCTTTCTCAGACGTTTCCCTCAAAGTCCTGTGTGTTTCTGAGTGACGTGAGGCTTCACAGTGACGGCTTTTGAGAATGACGTGGTTAGGCTCGTCAGCGGTGAGTCAGCCTGCAGAAGAGGAGCGAATCCAGATGCAGCGCGCAAGCCAACGTGCAACCATTGAAAGCCCCCCTCAGACACACACACACACACACGCCCCATCAACTTCAAATCAATTTAAAGCAGTTGTTCCCAAATCGACCCATTGTGCGCAATTAAGCGACTGACTCCTTCCGCTGTCCGTGGTGCTGAACGGTTACAAGACCACAACAAACAGCACGAACACCACTCAGCGGTGGACTATGGCCGTGTATGAAAGTCGTAAAACGCATGTAAAAGGCTGCTGAACTGGTTAAATCGCCCAAGCGTAAGTAATTAAATGCAGTAAACAATCACAGAGTCCGGTTAAAAATAGTGTTAACACTTCAAAACAGAGCTATGACAGAGCTCGCGTCGGCGGAGTTATACATCTCTAACAGACTGGCAGGGTATAGACTGCGTTACTGCAGGCTCTATGAATCATGCTGTTGTTATCTGATGTAGAGCCAGAATGTTCCTTATTTTAGAGAACATTACAGTAATCAGACACGATCAAATAATAATAATATACACACAAAAAAATGTACACACGCGTTAAATCTTATTAGTTTGCAATTCACTCAATAATTCCACTCATTAATAAAGTTAGTTTTTTATTAGTAAAATTATATAAAGGGTATTAAAATACACATAATATTAAGTTAAAACATTAACAAAATAAACAACTATTTAATTACCACCCCAAAAATGATAGTCAATCTTCGCCGTACATCCCACCCGAGACGTGCGTTATTCATCTACGTCAACATTTAGAGCACGATTGTGACAAATTTATATTAAATGCATGCAATACACTTAGATATTATATATGATATAGCCTAACATTTTGGATGCACGTTCACACTTGCGAAGGTAAACCGAATAATTATTCGTTTTTACTCATTTAGATTGAAGAAAAACATGATCAGCGGTTAAGTAGAAATAACTTAATTTTCCATGCAATTAAATGCACGAGTGGCTGGAAAAGTGCAGATTTTTTCCTTTCCTGAATCATGCACCATTCAGCCAGCTGAAGTTAACCTGTGGCTCGTGCTCTTGACGTACCGTATTTATCACCGGTGCCAAGCTGACAACACGCAGTCGCCAAACAGACCAGCATCCACAGACGCGCCGATCTCATCTTCCCTCGGCTTCTCTCTGCTCTTTTCTCTCCGTTCACACCGACATATTTAGATGACACGGTGATCGATGTGATGCTGCGCGTGTGCCAAACTCCACAAACACGAGACTTGGGGAAGAGAGCGATAAAGAGGAGTGTGTGTGTGTGTGTGTGTGTGTGTATGTGTGTGTGAAAAGCAGCAGCGCGCGCTCCTGAGGGGAGGGGGTAAGAGCGCCGGACACACTGAAAACCCGGAAAGTGGGCACGACAATCGGTACAGTAATGCAGTTATTCTGAGAAATATACAAATTACGTCATGATGGCCATTTACTCGTGATATGCGCAAACAAATAGCATTATTAAAAGACACAAGACAAACATAGTCTTATTATTTGTTTATTAACAACAGAGTTCAAATGCCACAGTCTGTGTGTATGTGTAAACTTCAGGCTTAACCAAGACATGATGGATTAATGTAGACAAATGGAAAGACGGTAATGACTGATATGGTGTTGATTTCCTTATCAATGACGTCTGTGAATCCCATCTGTGCGGTTGTGGCGAATCTCTCGCAGTCTAGTCCACGGTTACTGTGCTTCGTACAAAGGGGAAGTTCTCAAAGAAGCCCTGCGTGTGTTACAAAACAGGCTTTAATAACTCATGAGGTACACAGTAGATTAACTTTAACCTTAAATCATGTTGTTCCTAACCCGTTTGACTTTTATCTACAACACAATATAGTTAAAGTGCTCATGATTATTTTGAAACAACATTTTTAAGAGGGCATTGATTGTACGAGCAGGTTCTTGGATTGCGTTTTGAAAACCTGGTGGAGCAGCAATGTTTTGTAATGGCTGATCAGACTTGGATTAAAATTCAAAGGCAGTTTTGAAGATATTTAGAATGATTTGCTGCTATTACGAATTGCAGCTTATTACAGGGTTCCCACTCTTTCATAAACAGCCAATTCAATGACTTTTTAAAGCACCTTTTAATTTAAATCATGCACCATTGTAGTTCACACCCCCAGAATACACACAAAAAACTGATTACTGCTGCTTGTTCAAACCACCCGTTCAAAATGAGCTGAAACAACACAATTCCTGTCATTTCTTTGGTCAGTTTATTTGTTTTATGTTCAGTCCACTTAAATTTGTAAACCATTAAGTTAACTTAAGCGTTTTGTGTTGGGACAATATGAATTGTGCTGGTACAACTACCTGGTTAGGAGATTTGTAGTTCCCACCGAGCTTTGCATGGGATTGAACTTAGAGAGGGAAATAGTGACAATAAAAGTAATCTTTCGTGATTAGAGTTAATAGAAAGACTTGTTAGAGTTTAATCTTCACTTTAGTTTGAGAATTTAGAGGATTTTCATGTAATGCTTTGGGTGTTGGCAGCTTAATTAGCAAAAAAGCAGTTTGTTGCTTTGCTCAGTGAGCAATAACTGTCCTCATATAAGTTCTGAGATCAGTCTCAATCAACTGTATATGCAACGCATGAAAGAAGCTTAAAAATAGCTCTTTTAGTTCATTTAAGATAACTTCAAATTAAACTAAGAGACTTCAAAATGTACGACACATAATAGACGTACAGTGCATGATATTATCAGACCTTTGAGTTTAAGTTGAATAAACATACAAATGTATTTAAACTTTTAATTAATAAGATCATGTTGGACCAAGTCAATTGCATACATTTTTTTAGCTGCTGCTCAACAAATTTATTCAATTGAAATCCTGCCCTCAATTAAATTATGTTCATCCAGTGAGTTAATTTTAGAGTGTATGTAGCTCCATTAAAGTCCTTACTGTACTTAACATTTCACTTACACTTACAAAATGTCAGACTGATGACTTCTGAAATGTTCTGAATGTTTTAAAATAGGTCATCTTCATAGAACTTTCATAAATGCAGTTCAATTCAAAACTGGTTATATTCAAATGCAGTTTCTGAAATATTTATAAAACCTGCATTATTGGTATGGTTCTTGTACAATACTTTAAATTAAGAATATCTATTTTTTTTTCCATTCTGTTTTTGGCAGCAGCCCAGTACAATTGTTGAAATAACACCAAAACAAAATCTAAATTTAATCAAAGCACTTTCAATGTCATGTGTTTGTTTTTAAGCACTTTCCAGGCCTTGAACCCATATTACTGAAATTCAAGCACTTTCAAGAAGTGTGGGAATCCTGTTATTATATTTATATAAAAGTAAATGTAAAAATGCTTCCTCTGAACACACACGCACGCACGCACGCACGCACACACGCACGCACACATGCCAATTTAACCATTTTTCACATAATATAGAATTTATTTATATAAATTTATATGGGAAAAAATACATTTTTATTTTGTTACAGATTTTTAACTCTTACATAGATTTTAATACTGTTTTGTCACCTGGATGGTAAAAAGCTGTCAACAGTCACTGATTTAAAAATTTGGCATACTACATCATAAGCAAAGGGGTGTCATTTTAAACGGGATGATTGAACTTCTGTCATTTACTCTCCCTCCACTTTTTCTTAACTGATTAGAGTTTTTTCCCCCTTTCTGTTGAACACAAAACAAGATATTTGGAAGAATGTTGGAAACCAGCAGGCATGGACTTGCATAGAATTATTTGATCTTACTATGGATGTCAACTGCTCCTGGTTTCCAACATTACTCAAAATATCTTCTTTTGTGTTCCATTATACTTGCCTTGTTTACTGTTGGCTACAAGGTTACCAATACTACAGTCAGCTGCTCTAACAACTTGATGGAAACACACCTAATTCACTTTTATTGGAAACTTTGAAAAGATTCACTTCATATTAGGAGGGAAACCCAGCTATTATTTGTTAATTTAATTTACCGTAAATTCAGAACAGGAGACAGATCAACACAGGCTGAATAAAACTTGCTATTTATAAGTGCTGACTATTTATGATCCGGCTGTACACTACCTGACAAAAGTCTTGAGCCCATCCAAGTTTTAGGAACAACAAATAATAACTCGACTTCTAGTTGATCATTTGGTATCAGAAGTGGCTTAAATGAAAGGCAAAGGCCTTTAGATTACCCTGGTTTCATAATAGATAATAAAATATGATCATGTCTTAATTTCTAATTATTTAATTAGGACAGTAAGGTCTGACTTTGTTTAGACTAAAGTCTTGTCACTTAACAGAAATAACGTACAGTATAGAATATAAAGTCATGGTGCAGTGGGAAAAGAATGAATATTGTGTACGACTCCCATGAGCTTGGAGGACTGCATCTATACAATGACTCAAATAACTTTAATAAAGTCATCTGGGACGGCAAAGAAAGCATTTTTGCAGGACTCCCAGAGTTCATCAAGATTTTTTGAATTCATCCTACATCTTACCCCAGACATGCTCAATAATGTTCATGTCTGGTGACTGGGCTAGCCAATCCTGGAGCACCTCAACCTCCTTTGCTTTCAAGAACTTTGATGTGGAAGCTGAAGTATGAGAAGGAGCGCTATCCTGCTGAAGAATTTGCCCTCTCCTGTGGTTTGTAATGTAATGGGTAGCACAAATGTTGATGTTGCCATCCACTCTGCAGATCTCTCGCACACCCCTTATACTGAATGTAACACCAAACTATGATTTTTCAGTTACCAAACTAGACTGATTTCTATGAGAATCTTGGGCCCATGCGGGTTCCAAAAAGTCTCCCGCAGTATTTGATTTATTGGAGAAAAAAAAAAAATCTACCTCCCGCCACTTTTCCAAATTATGAACTAGAAGTCAAGTTATTATTTATTGCTCTTACAACTGGGATTGATGGCAAGACTTTTGTCAGGTAGTGTACAAGTAACGGTTTTTATGTGTAACAATGTCATTATCATTGTTTTGTCTGCAATATAATATTTGATATGTACATGCTTTCAGAGAAAACCACAACATCCATCTATTAATTTCATGTCCAAAGCATGAAGAACTTGAATGAAAACCGCTTAATAAAAAAATATTTTTTTTAAAATGTAAATTCGTATTAACATTGGAAGTGGAAAAATATAGCTCATGAAATGTCTTACGACATTTTTCCATTATTTTACATGTAATTATGATGAATAAAGTATGAGGCTTCAAAAGGCTCACTTTAACGAAGAGTAGATGAGTAACAGAAGCACAAAAGCTCTCTGAATAATTTGTACACTTAAAAAATAAATAAATAAATGTAACTATTCTGAATCATGCTGCTTTTTCAATCCTAAAAAAATTCAGTAGAAGAAACCAAGTCATAGGTGTAGAAACAACATGAAAACTAATTTGAGTACTTTAGACCTTATTATCAGCATTTCACATGCTTTATTTGTCATTATGAAAATATTCAGTAAAAAAAAACTAATATTTAGTTTAGTTTTCACAGATTTTACATGGAAATCTTAGCTTTAATATTCCCTTTAAAATACTGAATGTTCAACCCTATCCACTGAGTTTGCCAAAGTGAGATTTTACCTTGAAGAGGGTTGTGGTTTGAAGGACTCCAGAAGTGCAGCACATCTCCCGAATGGAGTGCATGGCAAGTTGTGGTGCTCCAAGATCCAGGACCGCCATCCCTAAACGAGCTGCCAAAATTGGCCCAATTGTCGTCCCACATGGACTGTCATTCCTAACCATCACATCCTGTGAAGAAAAGAGCTTATACATCAAACAGAAACATTGTTTTCTCTCTTTCTCAGTATTGACACCCAGTTGAAAAATGCTGCTCTGGATGATGACAATTCTTAACGGAAGTTCTAAGCAGCCTACCGGAAGGTGCTGGTCACTATGGCACCCTCCATGCAGCAACGAAGAAAAAGGTTTATAGATGTTAGTTTTTAAGTGCTCTGTTCTTGTAATGTGTTTTGATTTACTGTAACATTGGTTTGACATCTCTTGTTTTGGTCATAAAAAAGTAACATTATTAAAAAACATCAAATCATAATTTCAGAATATTTGTACAAGTCTGGATTTGAACTCGGGCCTTTTTGCAGCACAGTAGCTCTGTGCACACAAATGGTCCACTAGGCTATATGAGATAGAGGTTTTTTCTGACCCTGTCAGCCAAACAGAGATTCACCAGGCCTGGATGGGCTTCAGAAATGGCTGATGCTTTAAATCCCTGTAGTCACAGGACCTGGGTGCTTCGGATCATGCTTCAGTGCAGTGTTTTGAAACACTTGCGCTTCAGGATCTCAACACGGTGT